GCCTCGGGCCTTTCTGCTTCCCTTTCCTTCCTCAGTGACAGCACCAATGATGGTGAGGTATCTCCGCCCCGCTTCCTCGCTTTGGTGCCTTTTCTCTGACAGTGGCTGAAAGCCATGTCCCTGAGTCCCTGCCCTGCGTGATGACAGCTCCCACGGAGGACCCTCCTCAGAGCTCTAGCTCTCCCTGCTTCTGGTATTGGGATTTCCTTCCTCCTGATGCCCGGTCTCCATGGGAGGTAGCGGTTCCTGACTGAGGCAGCCTCTGCGTATTCAACATTCCTTATTGGTTCTCTTAACTTGGCCCAAATCTCTGGTAATAATCTCTTTATTAAAGTCTTTTTATTCAAACCCTTGGGGATACATTGTTTTCCTGTAAGTCGGGCTCTGACTGATATTTATACTCGGAGATACCCATGTCTGCATCTAATTAACTGAAAGGGCCAGCCGTATCCTCGTTGGTCAGCAGGAGCAGAGAGACGACGTGTCCGGTGCTGGTTCACTTACCTTCAACACAGAGCTTCCACATTCCATACAAGTCCAGCCTGCCCTTCCTTCCTCCCTCATCTTTCTAGAGGCAGTGGCCGAGCTGCACATCCTCATAAAGCAGCTCAGCGTGGGCTGCCAGCAACCCAACTAACATCAGGATGGAAGAAAACAGACGCCTCAGAGGTTCAGCATTTTCTGGAATCTAACGATTCTGCTGATCCTCTGGCGTTTAGCAAATAGCCCTTTCGATTTCAGGATGCTTAAATCACTTCTTTGTTCTTTCTGCCGCGAAACTAGGGCGTTACCGTGAGTCGGGGGAATTTCCGTTCGGGAGTAGGCGTTTTTTTTAAGGTTTTGTTTTGGCTCTTGCCTTGTTCTGAAGTCAGGCCCGTGTACTTGGAAGAAGGTCGAGTTTGTTAGGGGTTTTCTCCTGCCGTGTGTCTCCAGCTGACATCTATCTACTTCAGATGGTTCCTTTCTCGTTCTCAGGCTTGAGACATGACTCCCTCCTCTCACTTCAGGGTAGGTGTCTAAGTCTGGGAGATCCAAAAACCTCTCCTTCTCTTTTCTATTTACCTGCCTCCAACTTCCAGGTGCTACAACCTTCACTGCCAAGTCACTCAGCAGGTTACTGATGCTCATTCATTACGCGTGCATGTACTTTATTTACCGAAGGCCTGCTGTGTACCAAGGAAAACAACGGTGACCAAATACTTACCTGGCTCTTTAGGACCTGGGAGTCTCGCCGGGAGGGAAAGACAAATAAACAAGACGTTTTGCCTTCTGCTGCTTCTGCAGGGAGTTACAGAGGTGAAATTACGGGTTTGGGAGAGGGGTCCCTGCTGGACTCTGGCTGCTGTTGGTGAACGTTCTAGGCCAGGAATCAGGTTCACAGGTAACCTATTTTCCACACCTCATAAGAAATGTGTTTCATAAATAAGTAACCACACCTGCGTTACTATGCAAATAAGTTCAGCTCTGCCCTCTGAACAGCCAAGTTCACTTTTCCACTAGCCTTTTCTCTCCTGCTTCTACCTTCTCTGTCTTTACCGTGTGCCACTCACTTATCAGGCTGTCATTACTGAAGGAGACACCCAGCCTGGAACAGAAAGGACAGTTTGAAGGGGGGGTCTCTACCTGGTATCTGAGCCGAGTTCCTTCTAAGGGCCAGTGTTGACTGTGACTGTGCCTCACGCCTTTAAAAAAAAATTTGCTACAGAAAATACCAACAGTGACAGCTAAATCCATTTAAATTAAGATTCATAAATGGGGAAGGAGGCCACTAGAATGAAGCCAGCAGGAAACCTCTCTTGCTGCAGTGTGCTTCTCTGTGCATTTCAAATACAGCCCAACTCAAGTCCTGATCACCTTCACTTACCCTTACACAGGAGCCTCACAGACATGCTAGGTACAGCAGCAACACGAGCTGCTGAGAACGTGCTGATTTCAATACAGACTGGTTTCCAAAATGTCCTGGGGTTTTAAAACTTCATGCCCCCAGACACTTCAGGCTATGCCATAATTAATCCCACATCTTGCACTTATTTGGAAAAGGAGATTTTGGTATTCTGTGTGGGTGAGAGAAGCAGCAAAGACTCGGGAATCTGGCATCTTTTTTGTTGCCATTTCCTGTTGTGAAAATTCTTCAGATCAAAACAGTATGGGACGCTGGAGTTAGAAGGAGCGATGGAGATCATTCGGTTCTATGGCCTCTCTCTCTTTTGGAGAACTAATGGAGGAAACAGGCCTTGATGGGCTCCTGCAAACGAGTGCCTCAGCTCACTCAGGCTGCAGTCCAGCAATCTGTTGAGTGTGCTACTGCCCTGCGGATTCATCCACGAGGTGTTTGCAGAGGACAGAGAGGGAATTTGCAGCCCCAAAAGCGAGAATGAAAACTCTCCAAAGAGGAAGAAATCAGCTTGACATTTAGCGTGCCATCTAGGTGGCTATCAGAAGGCTGAGAATCTGCCTGATGCGAGGTGAAAGAGGGAAATGAAGATGAGGGAGGACAGAATAAATTCTGAACAAACAGTATCTGTGGCTCTGCACTTACTCCCTGTACTGGGGTGGCAAAGGGGTGGGTCGGAACGAGGGGAAGGGAAATATGTTCCTGGAGGAAAAGGCTTCTTATGTAAAGGGTGAAGGCAAGACTCAGACCCAAGTAGCAGCCAGGGGAAGCTGTTTATGGTGGATGCTGTGATGTTCCCCAGATCCCCTTTCATGAATGAAGGGTTTATTCCTCTGCATGGTGGAAAAGCTGCCAGAGCAAGATCCTTGGCCATCAGCACTCTCGAGACTCCCTGGGTTGAAGGAAACCACCCTGCCCAAGTCATGCCTACTCCCAGTGGCAGACCCCATCCAGTGACTCATCCACAGGAGTCTAAAGGCCTGGCTTAATAGTCCAACTGGGGATACCTCAGAAGAGCCCTCCCAGCTTTAGTGCATTTCAAGTGGTCAGCTGAGCTCTTTGTCGGGACTGCTTCAGAGCTCAGCTTCTCCCTCTGCCCAACCCGGCTTTCTACTCTTCCCCTCCACGGTGTGGGTACGGAGAGCACTTCCTTATCAACAGCCTGCACATAACCCCTGTCTCAGAGTCATCTGCTGGGGGAGCCCTACCCACAACGCTGTTTATGATGTAAATGTGCAGAGCACTGCTGAAGGCAGAGAAAAGATCATCATCTGTTGAGTCTGGTCAGGTAACGCACACCGTGAAGAACATTGCCCAAGTCCTTATTTAGAGAATTAAGTTCGGTGCACCTCATGTTCAAGCACAACATGTGTATTGCGCCATCTAAGCATCAGAGCAGGGGGACTGAAAAGGTGATCCCTTCCCCTGCACGACCCACCCTTCCTCAATCAATCAGCCAGATATAGGCACAGCCAATTCTTAAATACCTTTAAAGACGACAACAAACCCACCTTTGGTACTGTCGCCCCTTATGAAGTTCACAAACCTCAACTATCAAAAATCTCTCCCTGCAATAATTTAGTTTTCACATCCTGTGTTAATTTCTTTTTGTTGTCTCAAGCAGAAGTAGAAAACATTTATAAGGTTCTCTGTTCAGTGATCCTTTATGGTTCATCTTTAATATTTCTTCAAGGTTAATGAGAGGTGAAAGGGAAATGAAGACGAGGAAGGAGGGAGCCACCAGCTTTCTAGCAGAAGGTCATGTTTTCAATCCTATCATCTCTGTAGCTTTCTGTAATAAATCTTGGTTTGAATGTCAGTCAGTTTAAGGGTGATGCCAGTTTCTCACCTACTACAGCCATCTTTATCATCCTCTGTGGCAAAAGGCACAACTGGATGCAATAACAAGTCACATTCTAAAGCCACTGAGGGCACTTTGGTTCCCACTCTTCCAGGCAAGCGTTCCCATGGCCTGGAGACTCTGACTGGGCTCCTAACTGAAGATAGAAAGGGATCAAGAGGTGGGAAGCAGAAAGGTTAATCCCAGGAACAGAGAAGCCAATGTGCCCCAGAGAGCAGAAGAGGCGGTCTGCAGAGTTCGGAAGGCAGGCAGCTCATGCTTGAAGGTGATATGCTTATGCCTACCAAAGAAATCTGAGCACATCAGTTACTTTTTTAATATATATAAAGACGGGGTTTCACCATGTTGGTCAGGCTGGTCTTGAACTCCCGACCTCAGGTGATCCGCCTGCCGTGGCCTCCAAAGTGCTTGGATTATAGGCATAGGCATGAGCCACTGTGCCTGGCCATCAGTTACTTCTTCTTCTTCTTTTTTTTTTTTTTTTTTGAGACAGAGTTTCATTGTTGTTACCCGGACTGGAGTGCAATGGCACGATCTCGGCTCACCACAACCTCCGCATTCTGGGTTCAGGCAACTCTCCTGCCTCAGCCCCTCAAGTAGCTGGGACTACAGGCACGCACCACCATGCCCAGCTAATTTTTGTATTTTTAGTAGAGACGGGATTTCACCTTGTTGACCAGGATGATCTCGATCTCTTGACCTCGTGATCCACCCGCCTCGGCCCCCAAAGTGCTGGGATTACAGGTGTGAGCCACCGCACCCAGCCAGTTACTTCTTTCTTACCAAGAATCCCTGGCCTGGCACGGTGGCTCATGCCTGTAATCCCAGCTACTCAGGAGGCTGCGGCAGGAGAATAGCTTGTGTCCTGAAGATGGAGGTTGTGGTGAGCTGAGATTGCACCATTGCACTCCAGCCTGGGGAACAAGAGAAAAACTCCATCTCAATTAAAAAAAAAAAAAAAAAAAAAAGAATCCCTTAGATTTGTGAGTTATGAGCTGAAAGTGAGGTAAGGCCTGTTTTGTTTTGTTTGTTCATTTCCACACACGTAGCTTAAGATGCTTTCTGGATCTGCAATGCTAAGTAGTGATCTATGTTGGAGAAAGAAATAAGGGAGGTCTAGGCCCTTCCTTTGCTGTCTCTAACCCTCTCTACAGAACCACCGAGTAATTATGATATTTAACTGTGGAATGGTAGAGTTTTTACACTCATGAGGCAAACTCACACTAGTGGTGCTATAGAGTTCATGACCAGCCTGACCAACATAGAGAAACCCCGTCTCTACTAAAAATACAAAAAAGTTAGCCAGGCATGGTGGCACATGCCTTTAATCCCAGCTACTTGAGAGGCTGAGCCAGGAGAATCGCCTCAGTGATTGGACATGGCTGAAAGCCATTTCTGATAACCAGGGGAGCTGGGATGGGGAGGTGATTACTGGCATCTAGTGTCCTGTATCAGCCAGGCCACAGGACAGCCTCACATAACAAAGAATCATCACATCCAAAATAGTGCTGAGGTTGAGATACTCCGTCTTACAAATAATTCTCTGTCCTCCCAAATGTATTCACCTACTCAGGAACCTTTAGGCCTTGTTTCTCCTCCTCTAGACACTCAGCTGACCTGGGGAAATTACAAGCTGCTTGACCAACAAGCTCATTATCTTGTTTTTGATGGACAGAGAGCTGAGGAACAAAGACGACAAATAAAACCCCAGCTGTATGTCCTAGCGAGGCGGCAGATGGACGCGGGATTCTTCCGCGGAACATGTGCAGAACAGGATAATCGGTTCAGCGACAAACAGAAGAAACTACTGAAGCAGCTGAAATTTGCAGAATGCCTAGAAAAAAAGGTGGGCACGAGCAAAGTAAATTTGGAAGTTATAAAGCCTTGGATAACAAAAAGAGTAACGGAAATCCGTGGGTTTAAAGATGATGTTGTGATTGAGTTTATATTCAACCAGCTGGAAGTGAAGAATCCAGACTACAAAATGATGCAAATCAACCTGACTGGATTTTTAAACGGAAAAAATGCTCGAGAATTTATGGGAGAACTGTGGCCCCTGCTGCTAAGTGCACAAGAAAACGTCGCGGGAATCCCTTCTGCTTTCCTAGAGCTGAAGAAAGAAGAAATAAAACAAAGACAGATTGAACAAGAAAAATGGGCATTTATGAAAAAGCAAGATGAAGACAAAGATAAAAGGGATAAGGAAGAGAAAGAAAGCAGCAGAGAAAAAAGGGAGAGGTCTCGTAGCCCAAGAAGACGCAAATCCAGATCTCCTTCCCCTAGAAGACGACCTTCCCCTGTCAGGAGAGAGAGAAGCGCAGTCATTCTCGATCTCCCGGTCACAGAACCAAGAGCCGGAGTCCTTCCCCTGCTCCAGAAAAGAAGGAAAAAACTCCAGAGCTCCCAGAACCTTCAGTGAAAGTAAAAGAACCTTCAGTACAAGAGGCCACTTCTACTAGTGACATTCTGAAAGTTCCCAAACCTGAACCTGTACCAGAGCCTAAAGAACCTTCTGCAGAAAAAAATTCCAAAAAAGAAAAGGAGAAGGAAAAGACCCGACCACGATCTCGGTCACGCTCCAAATCAAGATCCTGGACGCGGTCCCGCTCTCCTTCTCACACTCGACCTAGATGGCACCATAGGTCTCGATCGAGATCATATTCACCTAGAAGGTGGCCAAGCCCAAGAAGGCGGCCATCTCCTCGAAGAAGAACTCCACCAAGGAGAATGCCTCCTCCACCAAGGCATAGAAGCAGCAGATCACCAGTAAGACGAAGAAGACGTTCGTCAGCATCCTTGTCTGGGAGTAGCTCATCATCCTCTTCATCTCGTTCCCGGTCACCACCAAAGAAACCGCCCAAGAGGACATCCAGCCCCCTTCGAAAAACTCGTAGGTTATCTCCTTCAGCAAGTCCTCTAAGGCGAAGGCACAGGCCATCACCTCCTGCAACTCCACCACCCCAAACTCGGCATTCCCCAACACCCCAGCAGTCAAACTGTACAAGAAAAAGTCGTGTTTCCATGTCTCCAGGGAGAACATCAGTAACAAAACATAAAGGTACTGAGAAAAGAGAATCCCCTTCACCAGCACCGAAGCCTAGAAAAGTAGAGTTATCTAAATCGGAAGAAGATAAAGGTGGCAAAATGGCTGCAGCAGATTCTGTGCAGCAGAGACGCCAATACCGACGACAAAACCAGCAGTCTTCATCTGACTCTGGCTCCTCCTCCTCCTCACAAGATGAAAGACCCAAGAGATCCCATGTGAAGAATGGTGAGGTTGGCAGGCGGCGGAGACATTCCCCTTCCCAGAGTGCCTCTCCATCACCACGACAGCGCCAAAAAGAGACTTCCCCTCGGATGCAGATGGGAAAGCGATGGCAATCGCCAGTGACTAAAAGTGGTAGACGGAGGAGAAGTCCAACCCCACCACCCACCAGAAGGCGACGGTCTCCTTCGCCCACCCCTCCTCCTCGACAGCGCAGGTCTCCCACACCACCACCACGACGAAGGACTCCTTCTCCACCTCCACGTCGGCGCTCACCTTCTCCTAGAAGATATTCTCCTCCAATACAGAGGAGATACTCTCCTTCTCCACCTCCAAAGAGAAGAACGGCTTCTCCTCCTCCCCCTCCTAAACGAAGCGCATCACCATCTCCATCACCAAAGCATCAGGTCTCCCATTCTCCACCTCCCAAACAAAGAAGCTCCCCAGTCACCAAGAGACGTTCACCTTCATTATCATCCAAGCATAGGAAAGGGTCTTCCCCAAGCCGGTCTATGCGGGAGGCCCGATCACCACAACCAAACAAACGGCATTTGCCCTCACCACGGCCTCCAGCTCCTCAGACCTCCTCAAGTCCTCCACCTGTTCGAAGAGGAGCGTCCTCATCACCCCAAAGAAGACAGTCCCCATCTCCAAGTACTAGGCCCATTAGGAGAGTCGCCAGGACTCCGGAACCTAAAAAGATAAAAAAGGCTGCTTCACCAAGCCCACAGTCTGTAACAGGGTCTCATCCTCCCGATCTGTCTCTGGGTCTCCTGAGCCAACAGTTAAAAAGCCCCCAGCACCTCCGTCCCCCATCCAGTCTCAGTCACCGCCTACAAACTGGTCACCAGCTGTACGGATCAAAAAGGCCAAAAGCCCGACACCAAGCCCATCACCGCCAAGAAATTTGGATCAAGAAGGAGGTGGAAAGAAAAAGAAGAAAAAGAAGGACAAGAAACACACAAAAAAATAAGAAGCACAAGAAACACAAGAAGGAAAAAGCTGTGGCTGCAGCTGCTGCGGCTGCTCTAACCCCTGCAGCCATTGCAACTGCCACAACCACATTAGCACAGGAAGAACCCGTGGCGGTGCCAGAGCCAAAGAAGGAGACTGAAAGTGAAGCTGAAGATAACCTTGATGACTTAGAAAAGCACCTGCGTGGCCGGGCGCGGTGGCTCAAGCCTGTAATCCCAGCACTTTGGGAGGCCGAGGTGGGTGGATCACGAGGTCAAGAGATCGAGACCATCCTGGTCACCATGGTGGAACCCCGTCTCTACTAAAAATACAAAAAATTAGCTGGGCATGGTGGCGCGTGCCTGTAATCCCAGCTACTCGGGAGGCTGAGGCAGGAGAATTGCCTGAACCCAGGAGGCGGAGGTTGCGGTGGGCGGAGGTTGCGGTGAGCGGAGATCGCGCCATTGCACTCCAGCCTGGGTAACAAGAGCGAAACTCCGTCTCAAAAAAAAAAAAAAGAAAAAAAAAAAAGAAAAAAAAAAAAAGAAAAGCACCCACGTGAAAAGGCCCTGAGATGAATGAGGAAGGCCCAAGTGTCCCCACAGTCTTAGGTGGAAATGTTTGTTATGATGTAAACTTTATTTGGTTTGTACGCAGTTCAATTTCAAAATTGCTAAAAATGCGTTTGAGCTTTAGACTATAATATCTGTTGTAATAATTGCTAGGTTGAAGTTCACCATGTAAAAAAAAGGGCATGGATTTACATTGCAAAAGGTGTCCACGGTGTATTAGTGACATTTTCATTGACAGCTGACATAATTCATTTAGAGTGAAACATTTTAAGCCAAAAAAAAAATTCCCTTTTTAAAAAAGGGGGTTTAAATACTGTTGGCATTTTTATGGTTCCTTTAAATGCCCTGTCTCTTCCCAGAGGGGTTTTTTGTTTTTGTTTTTCCTTTTTTTTACATTTTTATCATTTGAGTCTTAGCACCCATTTAAGTTATGCTTCTGACCTTGTATGGTCTGTAAGCTTGCCCAGAAATAAGACCACTCTTGAACTACCACAAAAATATAAATGAATATTTTAATGCCACAATCTTTCCTGTTGCCTGTGGAGTCTCTGCTGAAATGAATCAGGATTCAAGCTCTAGGATGAGATAGAAAATGAAAGCATGTTGTTTGCCAGGACACTGTGGGTTTATATTGATGTGTAACAAGTTGATTAGGAACACTGGACTCATTCTATTCTGGTTTTGTATTTTTTTTTTTGTTTTTGTTTTTCTTTTGTAAAGGCAATGAGAGAGCCCCAGGTAGGATCCTTCAGTTACATAAAATTTTGTTTAATGAAATGTCATGACTCTGCTCACATTTTTGTCTTCTGTTCCAGTTGGTATAGACAACTTTCAGAACTCTTGTATTTGGAAGGCTGGAAGGGCCCAGACTTTGGAATAGTGTCTTGGTTTCACTGTTTTTGTTGTGATCTTTTGTTTTAAACTAAAGCTATATAAAGCTTGTGGATTAAACAGAATAAATTTCTAAATTAAAAAAAAATTAAATAAAACCCCAGCTGTGAGGTGAAAGAAGTCTCAACCTTGGCTCACAGGCCCCCTTCCAAAGCTCTGTGGTGTGTGGGGATCCGTGAGCTGCCAGTTCCGGTCAGAAAATAATAAAGAAGTCCCAGAAGTACTTCCTCGCGAGGGTCTGCTTCAGAGTCATACAGAGATGCCTCTTGCTTTCACCTCTGTACTCATCTCATTGCCTCGCTTTGAATCCAGGCTTGAACACTGTCCAAGCAGAATAAGCAGGCACTCTCTTCAATTAGTTCTGAAACCATCTCAATGATTTTGGGCAAACAAACTCCCCACAATCTGGCAACAAGGTGTCCAGCAGGGGTTATTTTTAAGTCTACATTTCTTAGTTTCCTGAAGAATACACTGGGCACGCCAAAAGGCTGCAAAGCTACAGTTACGGCATCAGCGACAGCTCTTCAGCTAGCCTGTGCTTCGACCGAAAACAGCACAAACAGCAAAGTCAGCCAAGCCACGAGGGGCCTGGTCAAGCATCTAACAGTGTAGGATCGCTGCCTAACAAGCAGGCTCCTACTACAATACAGCCTTTGAAGTGTCTTGAAAATAAATCCTATGTTTGGAAAACAAAGCCCTCTCTCCAGGCCCAGACTCACCCCACTCACCCCGCCCTCATCCCTGTTTCATTGAAAAGCTAAAAATGAAAAAGTGCTTGGATATTTAAATATTTTCATATAGAGTAACTTTTTTATTTAAAGGGTCATCTTCTTAGGAATACAAATCCCCCAAGAATGGTGCTCGAGCTGCTCAAGCTTTCCAACCAGAAAATATGACTCTATGAAAAGATGCGACGAGAAACAATAGAACCAGCCTCACTTCTGCCCCATAAAACAATTCAAATCACTGAAGGTGACATCTCTTGCTGGCATCTCTGCTGCCATCTACTGAGTCAAACTGGCACACAGTCTAGTCAGTCCTAACCAAGAAGGGTCATTGTTCTGTATACGTTTCCATTTTAAGTCTTACCATGTTGTATTACAACTGTTTGTATATAACTTTACTTCTAGATTGCAAGTACCCACAAGATACATAGGATGTCTTGTTCATCTTTTAGTAGGTAATCAGGAAATGGTTGTTGGATTAAGTAACTGTGAGTGTTACAGGCCTTCTCCAAAAAGAGCATCTCAAGAATTTTCTTAAGGACTCCTCCAAAACCCAGACACTACCATAATTATATCAAGCAGAAGAGAGCAAGTAGTTTATTTTTAAGGCCTTCAGAGTAGCTCCTTCTACAACTTTTTTTATTCACCCAATATCAGCCTTCACTATCTCCATCATCAGCAAATTATTCTGTCTCAAATAAGAATTGTTTATTATTTAGGTCTATGGCTCATGTGGCTTAGGGTTGGTTGTAACCTTAATGTGAGGGGTTTTTGGACACTCAAAAGCAGAACTGTGACGATACTGTTGTTCTTTTCAAATTGAATAAGCTCATTCCTTCAATTTTTCTTTCTGCATCTTCATGATCTATACAGCTCAAAATTAGTTAACAGTTTCCTTGTGAAGCCTCAGAACTAGTTTCAATACTCTATTTAGCATTTAGGCAAAGGTAATTTTAAGAAGTGTTTGCTGTCCCTGCTATTATACTTATCAATGGGATACCTTGCATTAGGCAAAATGCTTTTACCTGGTAAAAGCATTTACTAGGCAGATAAGTTAGGAGTTGGTGATTCATTTCACAGAGCAGTCCCAGGAAAATTTCTTCAAAATGACTACTTCAGTCCTATTTCATTTGGAAAATATTCATTTTATGAGCAATTTTTCATGGATTACAAATCAGAGAATGAGAGTAGCTATAATCTTACTGATGTCTAATTTATGTGTCACTTGGGTTTAAGATATGCACCTTTTTCTGGTGTCTGCTGCTGGTGTGAGGAGCTCTTCAAGATCGCTTGTCCCTTACAGAAGTGGTCAGCATGAAGATCATCTCTTAGAAAATACTATCAGGTTCATTTGACACCTGAAAAAGCATACCCAGAGAGTAGAAAAAACTTGGAGACTCTTTATATACACAGATAGCAGAAAGGAGTCTTTCCCATCTCTAAGCGACCAACCTGGGCAAAGGAATAGCCTTGGCAATCAGTCTCCCTGTCGCTGCACACTCAAGAAAACAGGGAGAGTCACATTCTCTAATGCCAAGGTTAATACCTATCTTTGGTTTCTTAGCAAGCAGGTTCTCTGCACTGCAATCTGGAAGGCCACTAGAATCTCTCTGCCAATGTTTTTGCCATCCTCATTATTGATCCTAGTAGCAGCATGAACCTGTTTCTGGATGTTGTGTTTAGATGCTGATCAGCATTAAGTACTCACCCCAGGGAGGCTGGGCAAAAACAGCATGCGGACTTTTCAAGCTGACTTTATAAACTGTTTGCTCTTTGGACTGGTCAGGGCCGGCAGTCAGAACCCATGATCGTTAATTCATAAACGCATAGCTCTTTAAACAATTTGGCAAACATCTTCGATAATTCAGTTTCACTGCTGGGGGCTGCTTCCAAAATGTGTATTTTCCAAATGGTGAGCAGGCCTGGCAAGGTAGCTCACGCCTGTCATCCCAGCACTTTGGGAGACTGAGGCAGGAAGAGCTCCTGTAGTCAGGGGTTCAGGACCAGCCTGATGAACATGGAGAAACCCTGTGTCTACTAAAAATAAAAAATTAGCCAGGTGCGGTGGAGCACACCTGTAATCTCAGCTACTTGGGAGGCTCAGGCAGAATGCTTGAACACAAAAGGCAGAGGTTGCAGTGAGCCGAGACTGCGCCACTACATTCCAGCTTGGGCAACAAGAGCGAAACATCGTTAAAAAAGGAAAAAAAAAAAAAAGGCAAAAATCTTCGATAATTTGGTCTCATTGCTGGGGTTGCTTTTAAAATGCAATTTTCAAAATGTGTGAGCAGGCCAGGCATAGTAGCTCACAGCTGTGATCCCAGCACTCTGGGAGACTGAGGCGGGCAGATCACCTGAGGAGTTTGAGACCAGCTGGGCCAACATGGTGAAACCCCATTTCTACTAAAAATACAAAAATTAGCTGGGCATTGTGGCAGGTGCCTGTAATCTCAGCTACTCAGGAGGCTAAAGCAGGATAATCACTTGAACCCGGAAGGTGGAGGTGGCAGTGAGCTGAGATACTGCCACTGCACTTCAGCCTGAGCAAGAGAGCGAGAATCCATCTCAAAACAACAACAGTATAATTAAAATATGTGAGCAGTATGAAGTGAAGGAAGAATTCCAAAAGAAAATGGATGGGAATGTGTTAACATACATTCTGACCTGTGTACAACCAAAGTGTTGGAAGGGTGATATGCACTTCCCGTTAAGCACAAATCCACCTAAAGCTCACTCTATTTATGATGGTGTCTTTATTATCTGACCTAATAAGCAAGATAATAGAATTTAACCCCTACAACCGTTCCTTGAGTGGAAAAGGTGGATCCTTCTCACTATGGCCCTAACACAGTCATACACATGGGAGCTTAAAGAGTTTGCCCACAGTGGAGAGCTAAAAATGCTTGGTGGTGACTATTGGTGCAATTTGATATACAACATGACAATGGAAACCCCCCACAGCCACAGTGAAATTTCCACTAAAGAGCTAACTGGATAGAGACAAGGATCCATGTAGGCAAATCTTCAAAATGTACTTTTGTAGCCTCTGTTTTAAAGCTGTAATATTGCTTCTTAATCAGGCTTATGGCATATAGTTGGGGAAGAGTGCTACAGATTTATTCTTTAGAGTGGGGTTGGGAGAAGTCAGAATTACTTAAGGAGTCTGTACCTTTCTCTCTACCCACAAATTATGTCTGTGCTATCTTCCGCATTCCTCGGCATTAGAAATCAAAATGGTCTCCATACTGGATTGGCTTACACATAGTAGGTGTACCCTTTATCCTCCCTTCTGTTACCAGCAAATCAGTAAATTGGGTATTCTGCAGCAGGCTTTTCCAAATAAGAAAATATGGTAATTCTTTACTTTCTTTATCCATTCGAAAAGCTTCTTTTAAAGTTGATGGAGGCCTGGCGTGGTGGCTGACGCCTATAATCCCAGCACTTTGGGAGGCCAAAGTGGGTGGATCACTTGAGGTCAGGAGTTCGAGACCAGCCTGGCCAACATGGTGAAACCCCATTTCTACTAAAAATACAAAAACTTTCTGGGTGTGGTGGCAGGTGCCTGTAATCCCAGCTAGTCGGGAGGCTGAGGCAGGAGAATTGCTTGAACCCAGGAGGCAGAGGTTGCAGTGAGCCAAGATCGCACCAGTGCACTCCAGCCTATGTGACAGAGCAAGACTCTGTCTAAATAAATACATAAAAATAAAGTTGATGGAAATAAGAAATTAAATCTAGCCTCAGTTTAGGACAGAGGTTTAAATTAGTGACCTGCAAGTCAAGTCTGGTCTGCAGATGTGTTTTGTTTGGCCCACACAGTACTCTGAAAAATCAGGACTACTTACATCAAATCGACATTTCCAGCTTTCAACAAGGTACACCAAGTCCACAATCCTGCATAATAATAATTGCCTGGAATTTATCACTATTGTCGCTTTTGAAAAGTCCCTAGATGTTCCTTTCCCTGACTGTGATACATTTCACTCATTTACAGTAGTGCCAGAGCTCTACAGGTATTTGAAAGTGACCTTTTGTTTGGAGTCTAAAAAAAGAACATCAAGGAGACTGACACAGATCCTCAAGGTAGGGAAGGTAGCTGTAGATAATTGTCAATTAAAAAAACTTTAAAAACTATATAAATAACAAGGTCTTTATTATGTATCCAATATGTTTTTATTCAAAAACACAATAAATTGTAACTACTAGCAAATTGGCAGCTTATAATTTCAGTAGTGTTACAGCAAACATTTGTTAAATGCTGTTTTTTCCTGGGAAACAATGGAAGAAATGTATGAATTTTCTGTGAAATGTACAAAGTTAAAAAAAATAATAAAATAAGGCCTCTGCTTTGATTTTTAACTTAACATATGCTTTAGCAATCTAACAGAATTCCAGGCACCTAAAAAGTAACTATTTATTCATCTTTTAAAGTTAAAAAAAGTGATTAATTTAATGGTCATTTCTTAGTTAGTTCAGGATTTAGGAAAAGTTCTTAATATTAAGAAAAATTTTTATTAGATTTCCATTTCAGAATGTCTCTAAACCTTTCTGAATGAATGAATTTAACATGCTTGACGATAATAATAAAAATGTGACTAGTTACAATTAAATCTTTTAGACCTTGGAATAAATTTCTTCCTTTCCTCACTGATATGGTGGAAAGAAAACCTAATATGAAATCAGAGAAACTTAATTCATCATGGCCCTTGCTATGCGCCTGTTATGTCAATCATAGCAGAAGAAGAAAAGAGAGAAGACTCACTCGAGCAAGACCCAGTAAAACACACGAACACTGGTTAAATCTTCATCGGAACAATTCAAAGGCTAAAAGGCATTTTTAGGCAATTGGTAAAATTTGAATATGGACTGGCTATTAGATAATACTAAGGAATTAAGGAATTATTATTAGTAATTTAAAAAATATGCTGTGTCTTTCCATTGAAATTGTAATCTTCCTAGCAGAAATTGTGTGCAAAATAGGTATTCAGTAGATGTTGTTGATTCTGATGTTCAATTGTAATATTTCAAATTTAGGTTGAAGGTCAAGAAGCACTAGGAAATAATTTCTACCTTTTCAGAATTACTGAATTTGAGAGTTCAAAATGACAAGAGGAGTTATCTAGTCAAAATAAATTTATCTTAAGTGTGAAGAAAAGCACACATAGCTAGAAAATGGTGGGGCTGGTCTAGAATGCAGGTTTCTGTGCAGACCCACATTACACCTCCTTCCGTGTAGCTTACATGGAGCCTCTTATAGCTTCAAAGCCCTATGTAGCTCACAACTCAATCTTTCTCCTTCTCCACTTAACTTTATAATCTTGCTCTTCCTCCCAACTCCATTTTCCATCTCCAGCCTTTTTAAAATTTATATTCATTTGACAACTTTTACTTTCCTTGGGAAAGCTGCCAGGGGCAATTCTAACTCAGAAGGAATAATAATGAGCAAAGGAAAAACAAGGCAAAGTGAAAAGAACAACGACAGCGGCTGTTTAAGCTTCCTCTAAGATGATACGTCTACTTTATCCCCCTGGCTTTCATGAACACACTTTTTTCCTAAGCTCTGTCAATGGACACATAACAGCTTTCTATCAATTGGATAGGTCTCAAAGGAAAAAAAACAGGTTGTAAGCCATTGGTACACAAAGAACCAGGGCTGCTGAAATACATCTCTCTTTCCATTCCCTTTTTCCATCCTTTATCTACTCTTTTCAACAGCTAGTATGAAGGCCAAAAATTAAAATATTATTTTTCTAAGCCCTTTAGTAATATATTGCTTTTAAAACTATGCACATGTATTACTTTAAAAATGCTATGCTTTAGAAAGCTGAATTCTAATTATCCAGTACTCTGTTTAGCACTAAATAGAAAAATTAAAAACTCAGCTTGAATGCTTCTGAATTTATAAGATAAGCCAGGCAACCCTAATCTGAATGTGGACAGATAGCTTAATATCAGCAATAAGTTGCACCAATATATCAAATACTTTAAAGAAGGATAAACATATAAATACAAATCAATAGACATATGGGATTTAGCAAGTATAAACTAAGAGAGAAATGTGTTTCTGGGGCCTATTATGTAGAAATTACAGCTATCTTTTCTTAAGTTCCTCTGTTATGTTATACACATATATTAGTGATACACATACATTATCACTAATCCTCACAGCAAGCCTAAGGGATGACTGCCCATATTTTATAAATGAGGAAGAGGTAGGGCCACAATTTTAATATGAAGCTGTCTGACTGCCCGTTAATCTTCTTACCACCGTAACATAAAAATACATACTCAATTTAAATTTAGGAGGGGAAAAAGTTATGCTTTCTGCTCTTATTCTAATAGCAGCTCATTTTTATTTTTTACTTGAAAAATGTTTTTTTCCTTTTTTAGTAACAGAGACAGGATCTTACTGTGTTGCCTAGGCTGGTCTCAAACTCAAGCGATCCTCCTGCCTCGACCTCCCAAAGTGCTGGGATTACCACCTCGCCCAGCCAGCAGCTCATTTTAACCATGTTTCATGGTCAAGGCTGACATTTAGCTAGTATGTCCTGGTGTGTGGCATAAGGGCTAAAGGCTGTTCTCTTTCACTGGGTACCTGTCCTGCTTGATTTGTGCCCATGCCATACTAATCATTAAATATTTTTAATATTACACTTGTCCATGGCATAGAACTTTTAGAGTTTTCAATCAAATACTTACTCAGATACTTGAAATCATCCAAAACCACTTCTTATATTTTTCATACCTATAGGTATCACAGGTCTACTTCTATGCAAAATTTGACTGGTCCTCTCTCTCAGTAATAATATGCCAAGATTCCCAGCTTTTATACTAGAAGTTTGAGCTCTGCCATATTTATATATATATCAAAGCATGGACACATCTTCAAACCAGCAGTACAACATTATTACACTCTAGGTTTTTGCCAGCAAGTCCAACCTTGAAATGAAATCCTGCTTGTCATCAGGCTTGTAGCATTTCACGTTTGGGAAGACAGTCTAACAGACAGGATACTACCGACACCTTCCTCAGTTCTTGCTATCAAATTAGATCACCAGAAAGTATTACATCTGGACATTAGCTTATGCCCTTAGATAAAAATGCCTACACTTTTTTGTACAAAGTTATAATCTTGGATTTTATCAAGATTCAATATAAGAAATGACCATATGGGAAAAAGGAAGCAATGGTATAAATATTTCCAAGACAAATCTAAATGTCATCATAACAGTAGTGTGATTTATTTCTGAGAGCTTCTTACTCTAGATTTATTTATAAGTTTGTTATGTCAAAATCAGTTGGCCGAACCAGCATACAGAAAATGTTGAACAAGCTCCCTCAATTGGTTGAGATATAGAACTACCAAAACACATGTTCCATTAAGTTGACTGCCTCATCCTCTTCAGAAATTTCTGTAACTGCAGCCTGAGATCGAAGAATGAACATGATGTTGCTAGATAAGTTGTCAAAGCCATTCTGTAAACATATACTTGCAACTTCTTGCCACATTTCTATAGAGCAAAATGAATCATTTATCATAAGACTTTCTACTGCACCTGTCGGGGGGGAAATACAATATTATAGTATGGCACTTATTCTTATTTGATAATCCATACTTTAATGATTCTTCAAAAACAGAAAAAGACATAATTTCATCTCAGCTACCGTTAAACACTACCTGATTCCCCTATGATCAACCATATAAAGTTCAGTGCTCAGTCTAGCTCATGGCAAGTACTTGGGTTAGTTCCTTCTCCTCCTCTCTTATCATTAACCTCTTCATGTCTCAGTTCAACCCTCCACCACTTTCTCACATTCCATGTCTCCACTCATCTCCTTTTTGTTAAGGTGGCAGATGCTGAAGGATATAAGGCAAAAGCTCAGAAAGTGACGAGTGTGGGCTCATCCTTATTCTCAGAGTCTATAAAGCCCCACCAGAAACTATCAAATAACTGTGGACCTATATGCCAAGTTTTCATGATTTCAAACACTTAATTAAAGGCCTTAGTGATGCTGACCAAAAAACTTGAGGAACTCTTTGACAAACTCTTCATCCTGTCTCTAGATGGAGACCTATTAATGATGGGGCTTCTATAACACAAATTTTTCTTAAGGAAATGAAATCATTTTGTTTGTTCAAGAAATTTCATATTGTTTACTTTTTAAAATCTCTTAGGGATCTAACAATTTATGGAACTCATTTCTTATCTATTACCTGCATTACTTATGGTACTTCATAAAAAAGGATCTCTTCAGAATGCTGTCATCATTATAATTTTATTTCTACCATAATTACTAATTTTCTATCAAAATATTTTAGTTGATATCTATAGTGATAATTTCAAAATATAAAGTTATTTCCAAAATATATTTTCCAGTAATTTAAAATCAAGTTGTCTGTTCAACTTTCTATATTAATGAAAAGAAAATAAGAGTTTTAATTATTCTTTCTCTTTCTCTCTCTCAATCCCTCTATCTTTTTTTTGTTTTCTGAGGCAGAGTCTCACCCAGGTTGAAGCGCAGTGGCACAATCTCGGCTGACTGAAGCCTTGAGTTCCCTGGGCTCAGGCATTCTTCCACCTCAGCCCCTTGAGTAGCTGAAACTACAGGTGCATACCACCACACCTAGCTAACTTTTGCATTTTTTTAAATAAAGACAGAGTTTTATCATGTTGCCCAGGCTAGTCTTGAACTCCTGAGCTCAAGTGATCCACCCATCTCAGCCTCCCAAAGTGCTGGGATTACAAGGGTGAGCTACGGCATCCAGCCTAATTAGTTATTCTCCAATCTACAGCAGAGTTAGGTTCAGGGTGAATATCATATGTAAATACACATACATTTGGTTTAAGAATTAAAACATATAGTTTATGTAACATTCAAAATACATATAAAAAGATGGCTAAATATATACATATGTCAATATATATAAACTTTTTAGTGTTAGTGATCATAATTATTGTAACATTCCCCTCAGGCTTCACAAAGATTCTCTCTTCATTCTGATTTTCTCAAAAAATATATCCTATTGCTAATAGACTATTATTTACATGGCAATCTTTACATTTATAAACTCCTAAAGTTAACTCTTGCTAAGAAGGAACTCTTAGGAAAATCTGAGTTAACTTAGGCATAAGCATCTTAAACCTTTCCCTAAATAACCCATTACTATTTCTTCCACAACATTTTACTCTACTTACCTTTCCCACCTTTATTTATTTCCTGAAGTAGCTTAATGTCAATTTTTTTCATATCAATGGAGAACAGAAGAAGTACGGCAAGACCAAAAGATAAAAATGGTTGTTTCTCATTCAACTCTTTAATGAGACACTGAATTAATTCAACTTGGGGACGTGACATTAATAGCTGCAACAGGTCATCTGAAGGCAAAAATGAAAAACTTTATCTCAATATCCTAATATGATAAATCCACTAGAAACCAGGGCTAGCTAATGTCTATACCTGCCAATCAACAGCAGATTTTCTCATCCTTCGAAAGCCCTCAATAAGCAACTCCAACCTAAACCCTAGCCGCCCCATCAAAAAAATCATGCTCAGCATAACAAAAAACAAAGGAAAACTACCCATAAGAGTACCCAAGCATAAGTATAATGGAAAAAAATGTGGTCTAATAAAAATATAGATTGGCTATTGGGAAACCTGAATTCTAATCATAGCTCCATCAGTCACTTATTCTTTTAGAACTCAGTTTTCACATCTGAAAAGTGCTAGAATTGGAGATAATTTCTAAGGATTCATCTAATACTACAGTTTGTTTGTCTACATCTTGTTATCCATCCATCCATCCATCCATCCATCCATGCATCCATCCATCCAGCCAGCCATCCAGCCATTCATCCAGCCAGCCATTCGTCTGTCCGACCATCCAGCCATCATCTGACTGATTCTATCATTCTGGAGAAATCATACTAATGTACCACTTTAACCACACTGAAGTTTTCCCCATTTTCCAAGTGAAAACACTTTTGTTGTTTATCTGTTCAGATCCTTTGCAATTTCTCTATTAGAATTTTATTACTTTTCTTATAGTTTATATTAACTCTCTAATAAGTAACAACCTTCCTGATCTAAAAGCCATTATCATCACATTAACATAGCCTAAGAATATAAGATCCTTTTGGACAGCCACATCAAACTCTTGGCTTCAGTGAAAAAATCAATGAAAATCTCTAAGTCCCCTTCCCATTTGCCTCTGAAAAGTCACATATTCCCTGTCCTGTAACTGATTTTTCCAGGGCTAAATGCAAATTACAGAGCAGCATAATATCTCCCGGTTCAAACTGATCCGCAAGAATTCCTCATCAATATCATAATGTGTTTTCATTAATTACAGGATTAATTTCTACCTCAATTCTAGGAAAAGGAAAGCAGAAAGAGGTACCTGGCTCATTCTTGCAAATTTTGGGTCTGAGCGGGGAAATGCCGAGGAGTTGGGTGACCCTGGATCCCACGTAGATTACACCTAGGTCCTTGTTTAACAGGCTAATTCATGGGGTGGACTGGCTGCATGAAATGTGCTGAGTCTTCAAAACCACGTGACCTGGGTACACCGGAATTCCAATTCCTTAATGAGAATATTTCCACACAATATTACTGGTTCCCAAATGTAGTAGTCCATTTAGTGACTGTATTTTGGCTTGTGAAAATAACAATTTCTTCCTTCTCCCATTCCTATTTGTTTAGTCACCCACAACAAATAAACAAGGTACCAGAAGAAGGGATATATGCAATCTAAATTATATAAAAAGAGATCTCCTTGACGCACAAATCTCACATATAAAACACAAGAATTACGGGTGTTGTGGCGCATGCCTGTAATCCCAACACTTTGGGAGGCCAAGGCGAGCAGATCATGAGGTCAGGAGTTCCAGACCAGGCTGGCTAACATGGTGAAACTCCGTCTCCTCTGTAAAAAGTACAAAAATTAGCCATGCATGGTGGCGCATGCCTGTAACCCCAGCTGCCTGGGAGGCTGGGGCAGGAGAACTGTTTGAACCCGGGAGGCGGAGGTTGCAGTGAGCCAAGATTGTGCCACTGCACTCCAGCCTGAGCCACAGAATCCATCTCAGATAAGTAAGTGGGTAAGTAACAAAGTAAATAAACAAGTAAATAAAGAAGACTTTCTGATAGGACCATTCTGAAGGTCTTCGATGTAGTTTTTTCTTTTTAAGCAATGTCCCTGGCACCCATTGAATACTGAGGAGTGGATAAACTGTTAGAAATCACTGTAGGAAAAGCAAATCTTTCCCAGAAAAAGTAAATTAGGCTGAAATGCACAGCCTGAATAAGGCTGTGATATCTCACTACTTCCACAGACTTCTATAGACTTTTGGGCAAGACCATCTTATATTGGAACAAATGAATTACAAACTTCGTTTCCAAAATTTGAGAAATTCTTCCACATTTCCACCTTTAACTTTTATAAAAAGGGAAAAGGAGTGACAACCCTCATACTTACATTCAATTGCATCATCTGGCCGAACGCTTTCTACATCAATCAAATATCTAACAAAACAACATAATTTGGGTCATTTATATGTAGGAAAAGAAAAATAATCAAGTTTTTTCAAAAAAGGTCCTATTTCAACTTACAGACACAGATAGAAAAATCCTAAGAAAATATCAGCACATTGAATCCAGCAATTATTAAAGGATGGCAAACCATGACCACAAAGAGATGTTTTTCAAGAGGGCAAGGATGACTCAACTTCAGAAGATCTAGTTACATATTTATTTACATTACTATAATTTAACTAATAAACAAAAGGAAAGAAAATACAGAATCATTTTTTATCAAAATACGTTATATACTAAAAACAGAAACAGACTTCCTCAATATGACAGAGTATTTATCGGAAAGCAACAACAAAGAAAAGTCAAATTGAGAAAAATATTAACGTTATAGCTAAAGAATACTGTATAACCAACAGAACGGCTCAGAAACTTGGGAGTCACCATCACCGTCAGCCATTTCTTCCACACTCTCATCTTGAATCCACCAGCATTTCCTGACAACAGTATCACCTAAATATCTCTAGAATATGTATGTTTCCACCAAAATGACCACCATGCCCTGGTCCACTCCACCACTATGCCTTAATTCCTACAGACACCTCCTAACGTGTCTCCTTGCTTCTGCCTCTTTCCCTCTGCAGCGCAGTCTCCACTCAGCAGCAAAATGATGGGTTGAAAATGTAGATTTGATTATCTTTCCCACGCTCATCCCCAACAACAACAAATTCAACCATTTTCTATTCTTCTTAAGACAGTGACTAAAACCTTACACACAGCTCTGCATGGTTTTAGCTCCTACCCCTACTTCTGCTCCATTTTAATGCCATACTTCCCCCATAGTCCAGTCTCCCTGGCCAATTCCTCCAACACAGTATACGTTTTCCTGTTCCGTGGGCTTTGCTGATCCTTAATGTTCACAATTCTCTCCACAACGGTCCTATCTGGTTGACACCGACTCATACTTCAGACAGTTGCTCAGACCTCCTCACAGAAACCTCTGGTCCTCTCGTTGAAGTCAAATCCTCCCTGTTCTATGCTCTCATTATACCATGTTCCCTCTCCTTCTCAGCACTTGTCAGAGTTGTAATTCTATAGGCATTTGTGTGATTCTTTAATATCGACTCCCTCCCTAGACTGTTAGGAGGCACAGGGAAGCTGAAGTCTCTTTGCTAACACCCAGCACAGTGCCTACACATAACAGATGCTCAGGAGATATTTTCTGAATGAACAAATATCAATCAGTAAAGTGTGGCAACATCCACGAAAAGCCTAAGGACACAAATGATTTGATTCAGAAATTCTATTTTGAATGAAATTACCTCTGGGGTTATGGCATATGTATTCAAAACAGTTTATACAGAAATGTTCATGATGTCAATGTTTTCTCACGATATCAAAAATTTCTAACTTTGGTGTTCATTGGTATGCAAAGCAAAATGCCCTTAAAAAGAATGAGGAGTCCAAGTACTTCCAAAGAAAGATGTCTATCACATATTAAAACACAGAATGTCTAACTATTACACGATTCAATCACATGTATGTTTGTATCTGCATTTTTAGAGTCCGAGAAAATGTGTACTAAATTATTAACGGTGGTAACCGCTGGGTGAGATCAAGACTGCCTTCTACTTCATGTGCTTCCAGATTGGTTGCATTTTTTACAACAGGTTTACATTACCATTGTAAACAGACAAAAACAACTTTAAAACGGCCTCCCTCTGGGGTCGGCAACTTACCTGCAAATGAGGTAGCCAGTCCAGTTTAACCCATGGGTACAGCGGACAGCAATAATTTTGTCTATTAAAAAAAAAAATACAGGGTTAAGCAACTGAAGTACACATAAAAGTGTGTAACATTAGCACTGCCTGAAAATGAATAACTCTGAAGAGGAATTCTTTTTTTTTAGGAACATACTATAAAGAATCACCTAACAGAATGCCAAAATTCATTACTTCTGGGAAAATTGCATAGTCCCAATTACACCAAGTGATGTAAACTACAGACCTGGTAACATACTAGCAGCTTAACTGCAGTTTTTGACTCTGAAGTAAAACAAAAAATACCTATATATATATATATATGAACAGCTAAATCTGCAATCAGACAAACCCATCTATTTACAAAAAGAATGCCCATCAATAATTAATTTAATTATACAAAAAGGGAGTGGGAGCAACAACAGGGTATGAGAAGAATGAAATTTGTTTCTGAATGAAACAAATAAAATGCCTTCACTCTTGATACTCAATAGTAAGGACAGTTTCCATACTACTCGAATTCCCAAAGACCTTCCATTCCTTCTCTCGTTCGGTGCTCCACACATGCCACAGGTCTACGTGCCCCGTGAAGTACTCAGGTAAATAGCACTATTCAAACTTCACCCTGAAAAGGCAAGGCTTGGAGATGTAAGTCAAAGCAGGCAAACAGCACAAGACTAGAATCAAGTCAGATATTTTCCCCATTACGCCACAGTATTTCTTACTCCATCCTTTTAAAACATTCTATCAGGAATTAAACAAGAAACATGCAGTGCTTCTTTGCAAAATTTGTGTCTGCGACTAGGTAGCCCATCAACTTGGGAGTCTGAGGCAGGAGAATTGCCTGAACTGGGGAGGTGGAGCTTGGGCTGAGCCGAGATCAGGCCATTGCACTCCAGCCTGAGGGACAAGAGCAAAACTCCATCTCAAAAGCAAAAGCAAAACAAAATAACAACAACAACAAAAACAAGAACAGATTGGAAGAAAACAAACAGCAGATGCAGTCATTAGAACCCAAGTGCAATAGGTCAGGCAAGACCTGTACTAGGGGGCTGACAGAAGGTGACAGTCAAAAGATAGGACATAATATGAAGAGGATTTACTGAGGTATGAGATGGTGGAGGATGGTCTCAAGGAGTAAAAACAGTTCACTGCACATATGTGCAAAGTCTCAAACTTAATCATTTGTACGTATAAAGGAACATCTCTCAAACGAGGCCTGTTAGGACCTAACAGCGTATGCTCTTTGTGATTTCTGAAAACAATACAAACCAAATTTCCATGTGTGATCTTAGGGGGCTACGACTGGGTTCTCAAATCATTACACTTTTCGTGCCAAGTAACAAGGCATTGAGGAGGTTCTATTTGGGAAATTAAGGAGTGTCCCCAAAAGTAACAGTCCTACCTTAAAGCAATTCTTCCATATTTCACCTAAAAGCAATGGCCAGAACCTCGCTTTTACAAGAATAAGGAGAAATGACAGGACACACAGACACTGCCCCTTTCAGCTACAGCAGGTGGCGAAGAGGGTCAAAGCCTCAAAGCAATAGGCGGACAAGCCAAGCTTGTGACAGCAAAAGGGAGACGCAGAGACCACAAAAGATGAAGCCCACGCCCAGAAGCCATGACCTGGAAAGGCCATGTCAAGGGACCAAGACACATTACCTTTCCGGGATGTGGTTTCCGCTCTTCTTCTTGGACGAGGAGCATCCAGGAAAGTTGCATCCCGGACCCCAGCCACTGTGGGGATGCTGCCATTGGCTCATGTGGGTTCCAAGAAGCGGCCCACCCGATGCCAAGCCGGCCAAAAGCACCAGTCCAGTGCGCTACGTGCCAGGATAAGACCCCAGACCGAAAGAGACTCGGAAGCCACCCACACAGAGCTCCGGCCTCCCAAAGTTCTGGGATTACAGGTATGAGCCACTGCACCCAGTCCACATTCAAATTTGGCATTAAATTCTAAAACATTCAGGCCGGGCCCAGTGATCCCAGCTTGTAATCCCAGCACCTTGGGAGGCCAAGGTGGGCAGATCACTTGAGGTTAGGAGTTTGAGACCAGCCTGGCCAACGTAGTGAAAATCTGTGTCAACTAAAAATACAAAACTTGGCCCCAAAATTAGCTAGATGTGGTGGCTCACACCTGTAGTCCAGGCTACTTGGGAGGCTGAGGCAGGAGAATGGCTTGAATGCAGGAGGCGGGGGTTGCAGTGAACCAAGACCACGTCACCGACCTCCAGCCTGGGTGACAGAGGGAGACTCCATCTCAAGAAAAGAAAAACAAGATCAATTCAGGTATCTCTAATAGCCTACCACCAAGGAAAAATATTATATCCGTAGATTTCCTCCCCCAAACCAGCTTATTCCACACACAAATCACCAGCAACTCAGCCCTAACTCATTTATCACAGTTATTAGAGAAGTTAGTGAGAACAGCAATAACTAGGAAAACAAAAACCAAGGCAATCCAGGTCAACTTGAGCTGACCGCAGACATCTTTTTCTTTGCTTGAGCACACAGCACAACTCGCCACAGTGCCTTTTGCACACACACCCTCCTTTTGATTTCCTCCACGAAACCTATCAAGCCAAGATAGTTCATAATGTATCAAAACAAACAACCATTACGAGAAAAACGTGCACTATGTCTTGCAATGTTGTATTCCTTAAAAATATGACAGGGAAAAAACATGTATAAAAACCAGGGCATTTAAAAGCAACCTACATGGTTGGTGGCTCACGCCTATAATCACAGCACTTTGGGAGACTGAGGTGGGGAGATCACCCGAGGTCAGGAGCCAGCATGGTGAAACCTTATCTCTACTAAAAATACAAGATTTAGTCAGGCATGGTGGCGGGCACCTGTAATCCCAGCTACTCAGGAGGCTGAGGCAGGAGAATCGCTTGAACCCAGGAGGTGCAGGTTTCAATTAGCCGAGATCGTGCCACTGCACTCCAGTCTGGGACACAAGTGTGGAACACTGTCTCAAAAATAAATAAATAAATAAAAATAATAAAATAAAAGCAGTCTACATTCCATAGACATACTTAGGAATGACATAAATGAGGCAATATGACATAAAACAAAATGGAAAAATATATTACGATTATTTTCTTCGGTGTACAAAAGTCATGGAAGTTTCTGGACTATCTAGCTATATACAAAATACTGAATTATCTGTTCTGTTCATACAAAATAAGGGTGTGTCATTGCTTCTCACACAAACCAAAAAATCCACACAAATCTCTTTGTTCCTGTAACTCAACTGGCCTATTTCCTATTCTCCTCTAAATTCAACTCTTCATTTTGCCTGGCCCTTGCACCCAAGCATGGCCCACAGGGAATTCTAAAGGCCCAAGATTCCACGGTGGCTGTTTGCAATGGAGAGGAGGCTGTAAGTAACTGCGCCACACTGGATCCTTTTACGTGACAAGAAAGAAAGTACCCTGAATGCCTCTCACGTATAACAGAGCAGGATGGCAGGATGTCTGTGTGGCCCAAGGAGTCAGAGGTAGCAAACTATGGGCAAAAGAATTGTGAACAAAGGCTAGAAGAGGGAAGGTCTGCAGTCAGCCCTGTCTTCTACCTCCCTGATGTTTGCTTCTCATGAGCAGAGTCCGTTTTCCAAATGTCACGACACTGAAAAGGAGACCCCTGCTCTGGAAGCTGACAGGAAGTCATACCCACGAGTGTAAAAATGCAAGATCAAGGCTTGGCCCAGAAACAATGCCTAAAATCAAGCGGAAAAAAGAAGCGCAGAAGACAGATCCAAGTCCAACCTGGCCCAGCTTGGGCCAGCCCAAGCAAGGTAGGATTCGAGGAGAAGAAATTAAAAGACAGGAGCTTTGGACCACATCCTTTCCTACAAGGGGCAGTCAACGAAGTTAGCTCTTCAGCCAAGGTACAAAAGAAGGCTCTTTAATCTCTTCGTTTGGCCCTTAAAAGCAGCAGTAAATTCATTAATCAGATTCACTGAAACGCTTTTAGAACAACTGTAATTGCTCAGCTTAGATGGCCCTTTCCTTTCTCTGCAGGGACACTGTGTATGTACAATACAATCATAAATGTACAGTATTATGTACTATGAAATACGACACATAAAATACAAATACTAGTCAATGATATTAGTGAACATGTATAAGAAACACCAAGATGATCTTGCAGGATTTCACCTCCCCGGAACTCAGCCACTTGGTACTGTCTCAGCTTTCCTACCACCTCTGCCAGCCAATCCCATCTCCCTGAGAATCTGGCCTCCCTATTGGCTCTCGCACACCTTTAAACTGCCTGCTGTGTGTGACATCATTCTCTCACCAAGCCTATCGCCACCCAGTAGAATCTTGGGGTAGCCTATAAATTTGTATCATCGCAGGTGGCCAGTGACCAGTGTGACCGGTGGCCTTCATACCGGACACATGCACTCCTTGGCGTCAGCCACCCAGACATCCACTAGGATTGTCTCTTCATCCCTTGAATCTACAGTTGATGTTTCTTCTTCTCTGACCATGTCAGGTAAAGACAGCAACATTCTTGACAGTTTTTCATTTGACTTCTTTCCCCTAACTTTAGATTTCTTTACCACTATAGTCCCAAAAAGCTTGGAATAACAGGGAACGTATTCAAGTAGAAACCTAGAGACCTCATTTCAGTTTTGGCTTTGACAGTTACTAGCTGTGTGACTTTACAGGACTCTTTTATTCTCTCATAAAATCTGTTTCCTCATCTGTTACATTAGGATAATAGATTGGTTATTCCTTCTTGCCCCTTTCTTTTCTAATGCTGAGTCTTAAAGGGCACACATACAGAAAATGAAATCAGGCACTTTTTGAGGGTGTTTGTTTCAACAGAAACAGAGACAAAACCTAAGTGGCATAGAAAACCAGCAACATATTCTGTGGCGGTTCATGTGTAATAATAGTCTCCCTCCACTAATATTTCAACTTCACTATTTTAAATTTAGGGATGTTTTACGTATTCAGCCAGGCACGGTGGCTCACACCTGTAATCCCAGCACTTTGGGAGGACATCTCCGTCACTAATATTTCAACTTTACTATTTTATATTTAGTGATGTGTAGTGATGTCTTTAATATTCAGCTGGGCATGGTAGCTCCCGCCGGTAATCTCAGTGCTTTGGGAGGCCGAGATGGGAGAATCGCTTGAGCCCAGGAGTTCGCGACCAGTCTGGGCAACATTGCAAGACCCCATCTCTACAAATAAAAAAAAAAAATTGGCCAGGCGTGGGGCATGCCAGGTACTCAGAAGGCTGAGGTGGGAGGATGAGTTGACTGTTTGAGGCCAGCAGGTTGAGGCTGCCGTGAGCCATGTTCACACCACTGGACTTCAGCCTGTGTGACGACGCCAGACCCTGTCTCAAACAAACAAACAAACAAAAGTAATATTCACGCTCTGGAGATTCCTCTCTGAACTCGATGGAAAGAGAAAATGAAGAGTACTGGGTGACAAGGAGGCAGATATTCTATGGTAAGGGATTTGGGATTTTAAATGAAAGCAGAAAGACCGGGTCCCCTACACTTACCCTTGGGATATGCTCTGGAGAATTACACAATGATTTCAAGAGAAAAAGATGTATTTTAAATTTTGGAAGAAAAGCACAAAGGCAACAGAGTGAAATCTATTCAGAATAGGGCAAAATGAAGTTGGTTTTAGCAAACGCTTAGATCAATAAACTAGGTTTTAGCAAACGCTTAGATCAATAAAATATTCTAGGGATAGAGTATCCCTAGAAATAGCAGCTTACCAGAAGTCACATTCCGTTGTTTTCTTTCTGTTGCCCTTTTGAACATAGATGACACTTGACAGTTTTTAATATAAATATTTGAGAAATGTGTTTCAGAAATGATGCTGCAGGCCGAGCACGGTGGCTCACCTCGTAATCCCAGTACTTTGGGAGGCCGAGGCGGGCAGATCACTGGACGTCAGGAGTTCGAGACCAGCCTGGAAAACATGGTGAAACACTGTCTCTATTAAAAATACAAAAAATTAGCCATGTGCAGTAGTGGGCACCTATAATCCCAGCTACTCGGGAGGCTGAGGCACAAGAATTGCTGGGGCCCTGGAGGCAGAGGTTGCAGTTAGCTGAGGTCAAGTCACTGCACTCCAGCCTTGATGACAGAATGAGACTCTGTCAGAAAAGAAACACACACACACACACACACACACACACACACACACACACACACACACACACAAAACCACTTCTTCTGAAACTACTAGGTAGTATTTTGACTTAGGATAAAAAGCCAGGCTTGAAGAGGGCAAAGAACGACCCTTCGGATTTACCAATGGCCTGGCTTAAAGGTAAACGCTAGGAAATGTCACATGACCTGTAGAAGCAAAATGTGACAGTAAGGATTATAAAAGTAATAGTTGCACTATATGCTCGTAGGCCAAAATTGCCATATTAAAAGTTCTATTTCTCCTGGTTTCTGGTCTATGCTCAGAGAAAAGAGTCCTGGCAAGGAAGTCATGGTCATGATATGAACATAATGGTAAAACTTAAACAGGTCAATCTGACCTCTCTCAGCCTCAGGTACTCATAAAATGAAAATCTTAGAACTTCTCTAAGGACCTCCAGTTCTAAAATGCTCCAATTCTAGGAAATAGTTAGGCGTCAACACTCACCCAGATTCAAGGGAAAGATAGGGAAGGGAGAAGGTCGCTTCTAGCCTAGGAAATAACGTACGAACCCTCTTGGGTCTTCTGCACATCTGTGCCCATGTTGGATACAAAGGAAGTTAGTTCATCAGAAGAGGGCCAACCTGCTTCAGCACTCATGGCCACCGTAAAGCGTTTGGCTTTTGGTATCTCAGTGAGTATCGGTATTAGAGGCTTCCCGATGGCAACAACCTTAAGATAATGCTGTTCTTCAAATAAGGTGACATTTTCTCAATCTCACCAGTTTCTTCATCTCTCTCTTCTTTCCTATAGAACATTTCCAAAATACCTCTTTTCTTGGAACTGCAAATTCTATGCAGCTCTCCCTTCCTCTAGTGAGCAATGCGGCTTCCCTAACAGGAAACATCTCCAACTTCTCCAGGGCCTCTGCTCCAGCTGTTAGCTCAGCATGGCTACTGCCATCAGCCTCTGGCACCTCTTTCCAGCCACTCACGGGCAGTGCCTACCTTTACCAACATTCTAGGACAGCTATGTTGTCTGGGGTTAGTGGCCAGAGCCATAACTCTACTTCAGCTTCCACTTACCCAGGCGTTTTTGAGTGGGACGTTACAGCAAGCACAGCAAAGAAGTCACCCTCACTCAGGGACTTCACTGTGACTGTCATTGACCAGAACGCAGCTGTCTCTTCCATGTCTATGACAGCCCAGCATGATAAAACTTCAGATGCCAATATTATAGTCCCTCTGTATCCAACACTATCTGCCAGCCTTGTTCAGGGGACACAATCGGAAATCCCTAATCAGCAGGGCCAAAGCTTGTCACTTCCCTACCAGAAAGGAAGGCAGGTCTATTACTATAATGCAGACACACTGGGGCCTCAGCTCTCTGGAGAACTTGGCCCCTGGCTGCAATCCTATGGCTCTGTGTCATATACAGAAATTAGGGCCTCTGCCCATCAACCAGAAATGGTGATGGTGCTAAAGGAGGTTCAGCCCACAAATGGTCTACCAACAGTCTCCACTTCTGGGATGTATTACTCTGTGTCTGCTCAACACATCACAGAAAACAGTTTTCAAGGTGAGTACAATCAGCGAGAAAGGAGAACAATAAATAGAGCACTGAAAGCGAGGGTCAAATCTATAGCTCAGTGGTAAGTCCACGGATAGGTAGAATTTAAGTTGTGAGACTTCAACCACTATTCTTGGGCATTGCTCTCCATTTTCAGAGTCTATCTAAGAACACCGTCTTAGTGGGAAAGTGGAAGACTGTAGTGGCCATATATGCCACATTTAAGAGAGTCCCAAGAGATACCACACTTTTTATTGCGCTGGCTGATCAGTTCTCCTGCACCAGACGCTGTAACTTCCTTCCTTAATCTATTACTTTAGTCTCCTTGGAAGGCACTTCAGAAGTCTTATCTTGGCAGTGACCTTCTGATTTTCCTTGACTTACAGTAGGATTTAAGACCTTTTGCTCAGAGATTCTCTCCAAAACAAACAGGCTCAGAGTCTCTGCTTGCTTATGCATTTCATGACGAAGGGCTCCCCTCTCTCCCCTAGTCCATGGTGTAAAGGGTGACCCTATATGAGAATGTGAGGCTTTATAAAACATCTCCTATTTAAAAATCACTTTCACTTTTCATTTGGCTTACAACAACCCTATGAAATTCAAAGAAAGCCAAGAAACAATCATAATCATACCAAATGATAACCAGTAAGAGAAAAGTCACTGCCTATCCCCGAATACAGGGTCTTGTCCATGGTCCCGAAGAAGAGCTAGTAGAAATGCCTTACCCACGTTAGTTAGAAAGGTAAATGACTGCTGCATTGCTGTGCACGGGGAGCATCTCACTTACCAGAGATTGACTTCTTCCTTCATTCCTTTGTAGTGACGGAAACTTCCCGGGGGATGGATACCTCCCTGGGATTGCAATCTCCAAGCCAGACATGTTGTCTGGCACTAACTTCAGAATTCTCCAAGTCCTGCAGTAGCAGAAATACCCAGTTATTACTTGAGAGCAATCCATCACCTGAGCTTGGGGACGTTTCAACGATCATTCCAGTCCAGAGTCCAACTAATCTCTTGACAGTGTCTCCAGCTCCAAGCCAGGACAAAACCGAGAACAAGGATTTGGATGGGATTAAAACCAAGCTTTCAAAGCCTCTAGAGGCCTACCAGTTCCCAACAGAAAATCAAGATCCTCCACTGCGTCCTTTAGAAATCCCTGATATTCGCCAGCTTCTGTCCTGCATCGATCCTCTTGGCCAAGAGGAGCAGCCTGGTTCCGAAAATGCCAATCTGAGAAAGAACAGCCTGACTCTTGAGGGCAAAGGGCTACCTGAAGATGGGATTGAGTCTAGCAGTGATCTTGCAGACATCACTACATTGGTGGAGGATACTCACCTCCCCTCCATCTTCAGTTCCTTTCAAGATCTTGACCAACCCAAAAGTCCCTCCGCAAAGAAGGCCAAAGATCCCAGTGCCATCAAGGCAAATCAGGTGCAGGACAACTCAAGCATCATAAAGGGCCACTCTGACGAAGTCAGAAAGAACAAGCATAAAGCTGCCGAGCCTATCCAGGGTGCTCCCAAGGCCAAAATCCAGCCAAAGAAGCCAGAGAGCCTATTACAGGGAGAAGTGGCTGTCTGCAGTGCTACCACCAGCGACAGCACTTCTGTGAGCAAGGGCAAGCATTCTAGTGACAAACCCCACAAAGCCACATCCAACAGGAGCAGCACAACTAAGAGGCATGGGCAGGAGAAGACCAGAAGGGGCAGAGAGAACAGCTCCAAGAAATCTGAAAACAGGAAGCAGTCGGGGACCAAAGTTGAGGCAGACAAAAAGCAAGCCATTCCCAACAGGAAGCGGAACAAAAATCAACATGAGCTTAGCCAAGAGACCTTCAAAAAGCCACGAACCTCCCTAGGCATGCAGATGCTAGCGTCCGTGCAAGTTTTCCATGCACTGGGGAAAAAGACCGACAAGAAAACTGGATTCTCTTCTTCCCGGACTCTGGGAAGCTCAACCAACACCCAGAATGCCCAGACACTCTCAGCTCTCCAACCATGCCTGGATACCCGATGTGATGGGAAAGGCCCGGACAAAACTCAACTCAAGGCACAGGAGCTGGATGATAGGGCTGAAAAACAGTGTCCCTCTCCATCCCAGTATGAGTTGCCACCACCTGCAAAGGTCAAGTTGCTACCGTTGCCCTTTCTGACCCCGGACAAACCTCAAGCTCGACCTGTTTCTCGATGGCCACACCCTCCGGCCTCACGTAGGCCTGCTGTGGCTTGCCCTGCTCAACCTGGTTCTACTAACTCAGTTCAGTCAACTGCAGTCGATCCGTTCCAACCGGCTCCTACCAACGCACCTTTGACAGGTCCTGCCAGACCAGCTCAGCCAATTTCGACCAATGCAACCCAACCTGGTTCAGCAAACCCTAACCGGCCTCCTATTGCCTCTCAGTCTGCTGCTTCTAGGCCAGCACCCTACAAAACATCATCTTGCTCTTCTCTCCAGCGGGAGCCCGTTTCCAGTGCTGTGACCAATCTCCAGTCACTGCCCAAGCCTCAAAATCAGTTTCTCATCCAAGACTTCAGCTTGCAGTTCAGGCCGTGGAGGACACCCAACATTTCTGGGCCAGTAGTGTCAACGCCCATCACAAAAGAGCAGAGGCCAGAACGCGAGGCCATGAAGAAGAAGGCCCAGCAAGAGCGTGAGAATGCTGCCAAATACACCTCTTTGGGGAAACTGCAGTTTTTCATTCAAAGACAAAAAGACATGGACATTTCTCAATACTACGGCTACAGGATCTAAGAGCTGCTGAGAGTGTTGGCTTTACTTTGGATACCAGCTGGTTTTCCAAATAAATAGACACTAATTTATTCATTCCAATAATATATTTTTAAAAATAAACAAACAAATCTAACACAATTAATAAGTAATAAGCATAAGTAATAAACAGGCTTTTGGCTTTGAAATGCTGTTGACTGTGGGTTTTCTTTTTTTGGGGGGTTGGATCAGAGGCTGCCTTCGAGGGAATTAGGGCTGGGCGAGGTGGCTCATGCCTGTAATCCCAGCACTTTGGGAGGCCAAGGTGGGTGGATCACCTGAGGTCAGGAGTTGGAGACCAGCCTGGCCAACATGGTAAAACCCATCTCTACTAAAAATACAAAAAAATTGGCTGGTTGCAGTGGTGGCTTCCTGTAATCCCAGCTTCTCGGGAGGCTGAGGCAGGAGAATTGCTTCAACCTGGGCGGTGGAGGTTGCAGTGAGCCAAGATCACACCACTACATTACAGCCTGAACAACAGTGCAAAACTCCATCTCAGAAAAACAAAATAAAATCAAAACAAGAAGAAACTAAAAGATGGATGGTAGGAGAATGGAAGAACTGAGGAAAGAGCAAGGAACGTGGTCCAGGGCTAAGAAGGTCAAAAGGGGAGATATTTCATGGGCTTATACAAAGAATCAGAAATGGGGAAAATGGCAGAAGAAAGATGCAGAATCTGAGGTTAGGACTAAAAGAATAAAATTTGGATAGAAGTTGACGATGGCAGAAGATAAGGCTGGGTGGACCAAAAGAAACGTACAAAATCTCCCATGGATGAGGGCCTGATGTCTCAGGGCCTATTGGATAGGTGTTTTAGAAAACACGATGCAGGACTCATCTCCAACAGGGTTAGGTTACCTGATACATATATGATCACAGTTGGGAAAGGTCAGTACAAAACAGGGGAATCTACCACCAGGGGAATGGCAAGGGCTCACAGTTCTAGGTACAGCTCATAACATGGGGTGCAGCCAAGTGAACTGCAGCAGCTCGAAGCTGACCTAGAAAAGACCATTAACTCACCACCTACGCACGGGCCAGTGAGATGCACTACTTCTGTTCACCCTCACAACCACACACAAGACCACTCACACTGGGCCATTTTGCCAGTGAGGTGAACAGCAATATAATTTTTCCTGAAGCTTTTGAACACATAAAGGAACAATAAAGAAACCTCATTAGACCTGATCTAATTAAAAGTCACACCTGTAATCTTCAGGCCAGCTCTGGTCTCCAGGTGGAATTCCAGGACAGGTTTGTATCACTGGGTCCATTCCCAATAGGCTGGATAGGAGAGTCCGGAGTAACTGTCAGGACACCACCTTCTTCTCTCCCGAGCTGCTCGACTGGCATTTGGCTTCACATTCCAAGTGTACCTTCTGTGTGAATAATCTTCTCCACGGGGACCAGGAGGAGGGATATGGCCTCTCTGGTAAACATTTGGATTCTGTGGAAACGTTCTTAAAGCAAAACAAAAAGTAATAAGCCATCACTAGGATTAATACCATAATTTTTATTTATTTTAAAATCATATTTTTATAAAATATTTTAAATTCATAGACTTACAAAATAATATATACTCTACTGTTTCCTACCTGTGTGACCTCAGCAGATAAACTGCTTAACTTTTATTTCCCTAAGTTCTTTATTACATGGGGCTACTCACACTTTCCACCTTCATGAGCTGTCACAAAGCTAAATTAAGAAAATACATTTTAATTACCCGCAATGCCCTGGCACAGAGTGGATTCCCAGAAGCCTTTCCACCTTTCCCTACAGAGACAAATGCATGAAATGCATGCCCATACTACTCTAATTAAATACTTTCTCTCTCAAGTCTGGTAGGGTTGACATAAGACACAATAAGCTACTTAGTACTGAAAACACACAGCTACTTCCACTTTATAAACAAATATACATAAATTATAAAGTGCAGAACAACTTTAACCATGGTACATGCAACAAATTTGAAAAGGTATAAGATCAGAAAAACTCATATAATCATACAAAAGAAAATTTGGAAATCTCAGAAAAGAAAAAATAACCGCCTGCTGTAGAGCCCTCAATCCCACTTAATAGAATTCAATTAGTTAGTATTTCCTTTTGTTCTTTTCCCCAGCATCTTTTTCTGACTGTTGAATCGCAGCCTATTATTTTCACTTATCGTAAATGAGCTACCACTTTCAATGGCTTTATAAAATGCTATAGTATGGATATAATAATTATTTAGCTACATTCTCCACTGTTGGAAATACAGCAGCTAAGAGTTTTTCCACGACCGCACAAGATGCTGGGATTAACACTGCAAAACATTGTATCCTGAGCTAGCCCAGGGTCTGACACATGGTAAGGCATTTGAGAAATGTGCTGAATGATTAATACAGCTTTTTCTGCATTTTGAAGTATTTCCTAAGCCTCAAAATGAAATTACTAGGTAAAGCATTTTTATGGCTCTTGAAATTCTGCATCAAAAGGCTTAAACCAATATTCAATGCCACCAGCAAGATGTTTTTAAACTGTTTGTTTACATCTTTTAAAAATGTCCATTCTCAGTCCAGGTATGGCAGCTCATACCTGTTCCCAGCACTTTGGGAGGCTGAGGCGGGTGGATCACCTGAGGTCAGGAGTTTGAGACCAGCCTGCCCTACATGGTGAAACCCATGTCTACTAAAAATACAAAAAAACAAAAAAAAATTAGCCGGACATGGTGCTGCACGCCTATAATCCCAACTACTCAGGAGGCCGAGGCTGCAGAATCTCTTGACCCTGAGAGCTGGAGGTTGCAGTGAGTTGAGAATGTGCTTTTGCACTCCAGCCCCGGCAGCTGAACAAGACTGCGTCCCAAAGAAAACAAAACAAAACAATAAAACCTTAATAGAAAAGTCCATTTTTCAAAATTTTTCCTTCTTTTTATATAAAAACAGGTTTCCAGGCCAGGAAGGGTGGTTCACGCCTGTAATCCCAGCACTTTGGGAGGCTGAGGCGGGTACATCACCTGAGGTCAGGAGACCAGCCTGACATGGAGAAACCCCATCTCTACTAAAAATACAAAATTAGCTGTGCGTAGCGGGTGGTGCATGCCTATAATCCCAGCGACTTGGGAGGCTGAGGCAGGAGAATTGCTTGGAACCGGGAGGCAGAGGCAGGAGAATTGCTTGGAACCGGGAGGCGGAGGCAGGAGAATTGCTTGGAACCGGGAGGCGGAGGTTGCGGTGAGCCTAGCCTTGTGCCACTGAACTCCAGACTGGGCAACAAGAATGAAAATCTGACTCAAAAAAGAAAAGCAAACAAACAGGGTTCAAACATGTTGCCCAGGTTGGTCTCCAACTCCTGTGCTCAAGCAATTCTCCCACCTTGGCCTCCCAAAGTGCTGGGATCACAGGGGTGAGCCACTACATCCAGCCTAATTAGTTATTCTCCAATCTACAGCAGAGTTAGGTTCAGGGTGAATATCATATATAAATACACATACATTTGGTTTAAGAATTAAAACATATAGTTTATGTCTACGTAACATTCAAAATACATATAAAAAGATGGCTAAATATATACATATATGAATATATACAAAGATTTTAGTGTTAGTGATCATAATTATTGTAACATTCCCCTCAGGCTTCACAAAGATTCTCTCTTCATTCTGATTTTCTCAAGAAATATATCCTGTTGCTAATAGACTATTATTTACATGGCAATCTTTACATTTATAAACTCCTAAAGTTAACTCTTGCTAAGAAGGAACAATTAGGAAAATCTGAGTTAACTTATGCATAATCATCTTAAACCTTTCCCTAAGTAACCCACCGCTATTTCTTCCACAATATTTTACTCTACTTACCTTTCCCACCTTTATTTATTTCCGGAAGTAGCTTAATGCCAATTTTTTTCATATCAACGGAGAATAGATGAAGTACAGCAAGACCAAAATATAAAGATGGATGTTTCTCATTCAACTGTTTAATGAGACACTGAATTAATTCAAATTGGGGACATGACATTAATAGCTGCAACAGGTCATCTGAAGGCAAAAATGAAAAACTTTATCTCAATATCCTAATATGATAAATCCACTAGAAACCAGGGCTAGCTAATGTCTATACCTGCCAATCAACAGCAGATTTTCTCATCCTTCCAAAGCCCTCAATGAGCCACTCCAACCTAAACTCAACAGTACTATCCCCTAGCTGCCCCATCAAAGAAATCATGCTCAGCATTACAAAAAACAAAGGAAAACTACCCATAAGAGTACCGAAAACATAAGTATAATGAAAAAAAAATGTGGTCTAATAAAAATATAGACTGGCTATTGGGAAACCTGAATTCTAATCATAGCTCCATCAGTCACTTATTCTTTTAGAACTGAGTTTTCACATCTGAAAAGTGCTAGAATTGGAGATAATTTCTAAGGATTCATCTAATACTACAGTTTGTCTACATCTTGTTGCCCATCCATCCATCCATCCATCCATCCATCCATCCATGCATCCATCCATCCATCCAGCCAGCCATCCAGCCATCCAGCCAGCCATCCATCCGTCCGACCATCCAGCCATCATCTGACTGATTCTATCATTCTGGAGAAATCATACTAATGTACCACTTTAACCACACTGAAGTTTTCCCCATTTTCCAAGTGAAAACACTTTGTTGTTTATCTGTTCAGATCCTTTGCAATTTCTCTATTAGAATTTTATTACTTTTCTTATAGTTTATATTAACTCTCTAATAAGTAACAACTTTCCTGATCTAAAAGCCATTATCATCACATTAACGTAGCCTAAGAATATAAGATCCTTTTGGACAGCCACATCAAACTCTTGGCTTCAGTGAAAAAATCAATGAAAATCTCTAAGTTCCCTTCCCATTTGCCTCTGAAAAGTCACATATTCCCTGTCCTGTAACTGATTTTTCCAGGGCTAAATGCAAATTACAGAGCAGCATAATATCTCCCGGTTCAAACTGATCTGCAAGAATTCCTCATCAATATCATAATGTGTTTTCATTAATTACAGGATTAATTTCTACCTCAATTCTAGGAAAAGGAAAGCAGAGAGAGGTACCTGGCTCATTCTTGCAAATTTTGGGTCTGAGCGTGGAAATGCCGAAGAGTTGGGTGACCCTGGATCCCACGTAGATTACACCTAGGTCCTTGTTTAACAGGCTAATTCATGGGGTGGACTGGCTGCATGAAATGTGCTGAGTCTTCAAAACCATGTGACCTGGGTACACCGGAATTCCAATTCCTTAATGAGAATATTTCCACACAATATTACCGGTTCCCAAATGTAGTAGTCCATTTAGTGACTATATTTTGGCTTGTGAAAATAACAATTTCTTCCTTCTCCCATTCCTATTTGTTTAGGTCACCCACAATAAATAAACAAGGTACCAGAAGAAGGGATATATGCAATCTAAATTATATAAAAAGAGATCTCCTTGACGCACAAATCTCACATATAAAACACAAGAATTATGGGCGTTGTGGCTGACGCCTGTAATCCCAACACTTTGGGAGGCCAAGGCGAGCAGATCATGAGGTCAGGAGTTCCAGACCAGGCTGGCTAACATGGTGAAACTTCGTCTCCTCTGTAAAAAGTACAAAAATTAGCCATGCATGGTGGCGCATGCCTGTGACCCCAGCTGCCTGGGAGGCTGGGGCAGGAGAACTGTTTGAACCCGGGAGGCGGAGGTTGCAGTGAGCCAAGATTGTGCCACTGCACTCCAGCCTGAGCCACAGAATCCATCTCAGATAAGCAAGTAAGTGGGTAAGTAACAAAGTAAATAAACAAGTAAATAAAGAAGACTTTTTGATAGGACCATTCTGAAGGTCTTCGATGTAGTTTTTTCTTTTTAAGCAATGTCCCTGGCACCCATTGAATACTGAGGAGTGGATAAACTGTTAGAAATCACTGTAGGAAAAGCAAATCTTTCCCAGAAAAAGTAAATTAGGCTGAAATGCACAGCCTGAATAAGGCTGTGATATCTCACTACTTCCACAGACTTCTATAGACTTTTGGGCAAGACCATCTTATATTGGAACAAATGAATTACAAACTTCGTTTCCAAAATTTGAGAAATTCTTCCACATTTCCACCTTTAACTTTTATAAAAAGGGAAAAGGAGTGACAACCCTCATACTTACATTCAATTGCATCATCTGGCCGCATGCCTTCTACATCAATCAAATATCTAACAAAACAACATAATTTGGGTCATTTATATGTAGGAAAAGAAAAATAATCAAGTTTTTTCAAAAAAGGTCCTATTTCAACTTATAGACACAGATAGAAAAATCCTAAGAAAATATCAGCACATTGAATCCAACAATTATTAAAGGATGGCAAACCATGACCACAAAGAGATGTTTTTCAAGAGGGCAAGGATGACTCAACTTCAGAAAATCTAGTTACATATTTATTTAAATTACTATAATTTAACTAATAAACAAAAGGAAAGAAAATACAGAATCATTTTTTATCAAAATACGTTATATACTAAAAACATATCCTCAATATGACAGAGTATTTATCGGAAAGCAACAACAAAGAAAAGTCAAATTGGGAAAAATATTAATGTTATAGCTAAAGAATACTGTATAACCAACAGAACGGCTCAGAAACTTGGGAGTCACCATCACCGTCAGCCATTTCTTCCACACTCTCATCTTGAATCCACCAGCATTTCCTGACAACAGTATCACCTAAATATCTCTAGAATATGTATCTTTCCACCAAAATGACCACCATGCCCTGGTCCACTCCACCACTATGCCTTAATTCCTACAGACACCTCCTAACGTGTCTCCTTGCTTCTGCCTCTTTCCCTCTGCAGCGCAGTCTCCACTCAGCAGCAAAATGATGGGTTGAAAATGTAGATTTGATTATCTTTACCATGCTCATCCCCAACAACAACAACAAATTCAACAATTTTCTATTCTTCTTAAGACAGTGACTAAAACCTTACACACAGCTCTGCATGGTTTTAGCTCCTACCCCTACTTCCAGCTCCATTTTAATGCCATACTTCCCCCATAGTCCAGTCTCTCTGGCCAATTCCTCCAACACAGTATACGTTTTCCTGTTCCGTGGGCTTTGCTGATCCTTAATGTTCACAATTCTCTCCACAACGGTCCTATCTGGTTGACACTGACTCATACTTCAGACAGTTGCTCAGACCTCCTCACAGAAACCTCTGGTCCTCTCGTTGAAGTCAAATCCTCCCTGTTCTATGCTCTCATTATACCATGTTCCCTCTCCTTCTCAGCACTTGTCAGAGTTGTAATTCTATAGGCATTTGTGTGATTCTTTAATATCGACTCCCTCCCTAGACTGTTAGGAGGCACAGGGAAGCTGAAGTCTCTTTGCTAGCACCCAGCACAGTGCCTACACATAACAGATGCTCAGGAGATACTTTCTGAATGAACAAGTATAAATAAGTAAAGTGTGGCAACATCCACGAAAAGCCTAAGGACACAAATGATTTGATTCAGAAATTCTATTTTGAATGAAATTACCTCTGGGGTTATGACATATGTATTCAAAACTGTTTATATAGAAATGTTCATGATGTCAATGTTTTCTTACGATATCAAAAATTTCTAACTTTGGTGTTCATTGGTATGCAAAGCAAAGTGCCCTTAAAAAGAATGAGGAGTCCAAGTACTTCCAAAGAAAGATGTCTATCACATATTAAAAAACAAAATGTCTAACTATTACACGATTCAATCACATGTATGTTTGTATCTGCATTTTTAGAGTCTGAGAAAATGTGTACTAAATTATTAACGGTGGTAACCGCTGGGTGAGATCAAGACTGCCTTCTACTTCATGTGCTTCCAGATTGGTTGCATTTTTTACAACACGTTTACATTACCATTGTAAACAGACAAAAACAACTTTAAAACGGTCTCCCTCTGGGGTTGGCAACTTACCTGCAAAGGAGGTAGCCAGTCCTGTTTAACCCATGGGTACAGCGGACAGCAATAATTTTGTCTATAAAAAAAAATACAGGGTTAAGCAACTGAAGTACACATAAAAGTGTGTAACATTAGCACTGCCCTGAAAATGAATAACTCTGAAGAGGAATTCTTTTTTTTTAGGAACATACTATAAAGAATCACCTAAGAGAATGCCAAAATTCATTACTTCTGGGAAACTTGCATAGTCCCAATTACACCAAGTGATGTAAACTACAGGCCTGGTAACATACTAGCAGCCTAATTGCAGTTTTTGACTCTGAAGTAAAACAAAAATTACATATATATATATATATATATATGTGTGTGTGTGTGTGTGTGTGTGTGTGTGTGTGTGTGTGTGTATATACATATATATGTATATATATAGGAACAGCTAAATCTGCAATCAGACAAACCCATCTATCTACGAAAAGAATGCCCATCAATAAGTTACTTAATTATACAAAAGGAGTGGAAGCAACAACAGGCTATGAGAAGAATGAAATTTGTTTCTGAATGAAACAAATAAAATGCCTTCACTCTTGATACTCAATAGTAAGGACAGTTTCCATACTACTCGAATTCCCAAAGACCTTCCACTCCTTCTCTCGTTCGGTGCTCCACACATGCCACAGGTCTATGTGCCCCGTGAAGTACTCAGGTAAATAGCACTATTCAAACTTCACCCTGAAAAGGCAAGGCTTGGAGATGTAAGTCAAAGCAGGCAAACAGCACAAGACTAGAATCAAGTCAGATATTTTTCCCATTGTGCCACAGTATTTCTTACTCCATCCTTTTAAAACATTCTATCAGGAATTAAACAAGAAACATGCAGTGCATCTTTGCAAAATTTGTGTCTGTGACTAGGTAGCCCATCAACTTGGGAGTCTGAGGCAGGAGAATTGCCTGAACTGGGGAGGTGGAGCTTGGGCTGAGCCGAGATCAGGCCATTGCACTCCAGCCTGAGGGACAAGAGCAAAACTCCATCTCAAAAGCAAAAGCAAAACAAAATAACAACAACAACAACAAAAACAAGAACAGATTGGAAGAAAACAAACAGCAGATGCAGTCATTAGAACCCAAGTGCAATAGGTCAGGCAAGACCTGTACTAGGGGGCCGACAGAAGGTGACAGTCAAAAGATAGGACATAATATGAAGAGGATTTACTGAGGTATGAGATGGTGGAGGATGGTCTCAAGGAGTAAAAACAGTTCACTGCACATATGTGCAAAGTCTCAAACTTAATCATTTGTACGTATAAAGGAACATCTCTCAAACGAGGCCTGTTAGGACCTAACAGCGTATGCTCTTTGTGATTTCTGAAAACAATACAAACAAACTTTCCATGTGTGATCTTGGGGGGCTACGACTGGGTTCTCAAATCATTACACTTTCCCTGCCAAGTAACAAGGAATTGAGGAGGTTCTATTTGGGAAATTAAGGAGTGTCCCCAAAAGTAACAGTCCCACCTTAAAGCAATTCTTCCATATTTCACCTAAGAGCAATGGCCAGAACCTCGCTTTTACAAGAATAAGGAGAAATGACAGGACACCACAGACACTGCCCCGTTCAGCTACAGCAGGTGGCAAAGAGGGTCAAAGCCTCAAAGCAAGGGGCGGACAAGCCAAGCTTGTGACAGCAAAAGGGAGACGCAGAGACCACAAAAGATGAAGCCCACGCCCAGAAGCCATGACCTGGAAAGGCCATGTCAAGGGACCAAGACACATTACCTTTCCGGGATGTGGTTTCCGCTCTTCTTCTTGGACGAGGAGCATCCAGGAAAGTTGCATCCCGGACCCCAGCCACTGTGGGGATGCTGCCATTGGCTCATGTGGGTTCCAAGAAGCGGCCCACCCGATGCCAAGCCGGCCAAAAGCACCAGTCCAGTGCGCTACGTGCCAGGATAAGACCCCAGACCGAAAGAGACTCGGAAGCCACCCACACAGAGCTCCGGCCTCCCAAAGTGCTGGGATTACAGGTATGAGCCACTGCACCCAGTCCATATTCAAATTTGACATTAAATTATAAAACATTCTGGCCGGGCCTAGTGATCCCAGCCTGTAATCCCAGCACTTTGGGAGGCCGAGGTGGGCACATCACTCAAGGATAGGAGTTTGAGACCAGCCTGGCCAAGGTAGTGAAAACCTGTGTCAACTAAAAATACAAAACTTAGCCCGAAAATTAGCCAGATGTGCTGGCTCACACCTGTATTCCAGGCTACTTGGGAGGCTGAGGCAGGAGAATGGCTTGAACCCAGGAGGCGGAGGTTGCAGTGAGCCAAGATCACGCCACCGACCTCCAGCCTGGGTGACAGAGGGAGACTCCATCTCAAGAAAAGAAAAACAAGATCAATTCAGGTATCTCTAATAGCCTACCACCAAGGAAAAATATTATATCCCCAAACCAGCTTATTCCACACGCAAATCAGCAGCAACGCAGCCCTAACTCATTTATCACAGTTATTAGAGAAGTTAGTAAGAACAGCAAAAACCAAGGCAATCCAGGTCAACTTGAGCTGACCACAGACATCTCTTTCTTTGCTTGAGCACACAGCACAACTCACCACAGTGCCTTTGGCACACACACCCTCCTTTTGATTTCCTCCACAAAACCTATCAGGCCAAGATAGTTCATGATGTCTCAAAACAAACAACCATTACGAGAAAAACGTGCACTATGTCTTGCAATGTTGTATTCCTTAAAAATATGACAGGGAAAAAACATGTATAAAAACCAGGGCATTTAAAAGCAACCTACATGGTTGGTGGCTCACGCCTATAATCACAGCACTTTGGGAGACTGAGGTGGGGAGATCACCCGAGGTCAGGAGCCAGCATGGTGAAACCTTATCTCTACTAAAAATACAAGATTTAGTCAGGCATGGTGGCGGGCACCTGTAATCCCAGCTACTCAGGAGGCTGAGGCAGGAGAATCGCTTGAACCCAGGAGGTGCAGGTTTCAATTAGCCGAGATCGTGCCACTGCACTCCAGTCTGGGACACAAGTGTGGAACACTGTCTCAAAAATAAATAAATAAATAAAAATAATAAAATAAAAGCAGTCTACATTCCATAGACATACTTAGGAATGACATAAATGAGGCAATATGACATAAAACAAAATGGAAAAATATATTACGATTATTTTCTTCGGTGTACAAAAGTCATGGAAGTTTCTGGACTATCTAGCTATATACAAAATACTGAATTATCTGTTCTGTTCACACAAAATAAGGGTGTGTCATTGCTTCTCACACAAACCAAAAAATCCACACAAATCTCTTTGTTCCTGTAACTCAACTGGCCTATTTCCTATTCTCCTCTAAATTCAACTCTTCGTTTTGCCTGGCCCTTGCACCCAAGCATGGCCAACAGGGAATTCTAAAGGCCCAAGATTCCACGGTGGCTGTTTGCAATGGAGAGGAGGCTGTAAGTAACTGCGCCACACTGGATCCTTTTACGTGACAAGAAAGAAAGTACCCTGAATGCCTCTCACGTATAACAGAGCAGGATGGCAGGATGTCTGTGTGGCCCAAGGAGTCAGAGGTAGCAAACTATGGGCAAAAGAATTGTGAACAAAGGCTAGAAGAGGGAAGGTCTGCAGTCAGCCCTGTCTTCTACCTCCTTGATGTTTGCTTCTCATGAGCAGAGTCCGTTTTCCAAATGTCACGACACTGAAAAGGAGACCCCTGCTCTGGAAGCTGACAGGAAGTCATACCCACGAGTGTAAAAATGCAAGATCAAGGCTTGGCCCAGAAACAATGCCTAAAATCAAGCGGAAAAAAGAAGCGCAGAAGACAGATCCAAGTCCAACCTGGCCCAGCTTGGGCCAGCCCAAGCAAGGTAGGATTCGAGGAGAAGAAATTAAAAGACAGGAGCTTTGGACCACATCCTTTCCTACAAGGGGCAGTCAACGAAGTTAGCTCTTCAGCCAAGGTACAAAAGAAGGCTCTTTAATCTCTTCGTTTGGCCCTTAAAAGCAGCAGTAAATTCATTAATCAGATTCACTGAAACGCTTTTAGAACAACTGTAATTGCTCAGCTTAGATGGCCCTTTCCTTTCTCTGCAGGGACACTGTGTATGTACAATACAATCATAAATGTACAGTATTATGTACTATGAAATACGACACATAAAATACAAATACTAGTCAATGATATTAGTGAACATGTATAAGAAACACCAAGATGATCTTGCAGGATTTCACCTCCCCGGAACTCAGCCACTTGGTACTGTCTCAGCTTTCCTACCACCTCTGCCAGCCAATCCCATCTCCCTGAGAATCTGGCCTCCCTATTGGCTCTCGCACACCTTTAAACTGCCTGCTGTGTGTGACATCATTCTCTCACCAAGCCTATCGCCACCCAGTAGAATCTTGGGGTAGCCTATAAATTTGTATCATCGCAGGTGGCCAGTGACCAGTGTGACCGGTGGCCTTCATACCGGACACATGCACTCCTTGGCGTCAGCCACCCAGACATCCACTAGGATTGTCTCTTCATCCCTTGAATCTACAGTTGATGTTTCTTCTTCTCTGACCATGTCAGGTAAAGACAGCAACATTCTTGACAGTTTTTCATTTGACTTCTTTCCCCTAACTTTAGATTTCTTTACCCCTATAGTCCCAAAAAGCTTGGAATAACAGGGAACGTATTCAAGTAGAAACCTAGAGACCTCATTTCAGTTTTGGCTTTGACAGTTACTAGCTGTGTGACTTTACAGGACTCTTTTATTCTCTCATAAAATCTGTTTCCTCATCTGTTACATTAGGATAATAGATTGGTTATTCCCTCTTGCCCCTTTCTTTTCTAATGCTGAGTCTTAAAGGGCACACATACAGAAAATGAAATCAGGCACTTTTTGAGGGTGTTTGTTTCAACAGAAAGAGAGACAAAACCTAAGTGGCATAGAAAACCAGCAACATATTCTGTGGCGGTTCATGTGTAATAATAGTCTCCCTCCACTAATATTTCAACTTCACTATTTTAAATTTAGGGATGTTTTACGTATTCAGCCAGGCACGGTGGCTCACACCTGTAATCCCAGCACTTTGGGAGGACATCTCCGTCACTAATATTTCAACTTTACTATTTTATATTTAGTGATGTGTAGTGATGTCTTAATATTCAGCTGGGCATGGTAGCTCCCGCCGGTAATCTCAGTGCTTTGGGAGGCCGAGATGGGAGAATCGCTTGAGCCCAGGTGTTCACGACCAGTCTGGGCAACATTGCAAGACCCCATCTCTACAAATAAAAAAAAAAAATTGGCCAGGCGTGGGGCATGCCAGGTACTCAGAAGGCTGAGGTGGGAGGATGAGTTGACTGTTTGAGGCCAGCAGGTTGAGGCTGCCGTGAGCCATGTTCACACCACTGGACTTCAGCCTGTGTGACGACGCCAGACCCTGTCTCAAACAAACAAACAAACAAAAGTAATATTCACGCTCTGGAGATTCCTCTCTGAACTCGATGGAAAGAGAAAATGAAGAGTACTGGGTGATAAGGAGGCAGATATTCTATGGTAAGGGATTTGGGATTTTAAATGAAAGCAGAAAGACCGGGTCCCCTACACTTACCCTTGGGATATGCTCTGGAGAATTACACAATGATTTCAAGAGAAAAAGATGTATTTTAAATTTTGGAAGAAAAGCACAAAGGCAACAGAGTGAAATCTATTCAGAATAGGGCAAAATGAAGTTGGTTTTAGCAAACGCTTAGATCAATAAACTAGGTTTTAGCAAACGCTTAGATCAATAAAATATTCTAGGGATAGAGTATCCCTAGAAATAGCAGCTTACCAGAAGTCACATTCCGTTGTTTTCTTTCTGTTGCCCTTTTGAACATAGATGACACTTGACAGTTTTTAATATAAATATTTGAGAAATGTGTTTCAGAAATGATGCTGCAGGCCGAGCACGGTGGCTCACCTCGTAATCCCAGTATTTTGGGAGGCCGAGGAGGGCAGATCACTGGACGTCAGGAGTTCGAGACCAGCCTGGAAAACATGGTGAAACACTGTCTCTATTAAAAATACAAAAAATTAGCCATGTGCAGTAGTGGGCACCTATAATCCCAGCTACTCGGGAGGCTGAGGCACAAGAATTGCTGGGGCCCTGGAGGCAGAGGTTGCAGTTAGCCGAGGTCAAGTCACTGCACTCCAGCCTTGATGACAGAATGAGACTCTGTCAGAAAAGAAAAACACACACACACACACACACACACACACACACACACACACAACCACTTCTTCTGAAACTACTAGGTAGTATTTTAACTTACGATAAAAAGCCACGCTTGAAGAGGGCAAAGAACAACCCTTCGGATTTACCAATGGCCTGGCTTAAAGGTAAATGCTAGGAAATGTCACATGACTTGTGAAAGCAAAATGTGACAGTAAGGATTATAAAAGTAATAGCTGTACTATAGGCTCAGAAGCCAAAATTGCCATATTAAAAGTTCTATTTCTCCTGGTGTCTGGTCTACGCTCAGAGAAAAGAGTCCTGGCAAGGAAGTCATGGTCATGATATGAACATAATGGTAAAACTTAAACAGGTCAATCTGACCTCTCTCAGCCTCAGGTACTCATAAAATGAAAATCTTAGAACTTCTCTAAGGACCTCCCAGTTCTAAAATGCTCCAATTCTAGGAAATAGTTAGGCGTCAACACTTACCCAGATTCAAGGGAAAGATAGGGAAGGGAGAAGGTCGCTTCTAGCCTAGGAAATAACGTACGAACCCTCTTGGGTCTTCTGCACATCTGTGCCCATGTTGGATACAAAGGCAGTTAGTTCATCAGAAGAGGGCCAACCTGCTTCAGCACTCATGGCCACCGTAAAGCGTTTGGCTTTTGGTATCTCAGTGAGTATCGGTATTAGAAGCTTCCCGATGGCAACAACCTTAAGATAATGCTGTTCTTCAAATAAGGTGACATTTTCTCAATCTCACCAGTTTCTTCATCTCTCTCTTCTTTCCTACAGAACATTTCCAAAATACCTCTTTTCTTGGAACTGCAAATTCTATGGAGTTCTCCCTTCCTCTAGTGAGCAATGCAGCTTCCCTAACAGGAAACATCTCCAACTTCTCCAGGGCCTGTGCTCCAGCTGTTAGCTCAGCATGGCTACTGCCATCAGCCTCTGGCACCTCTTTCCAGCCACTCACGGGCAGTGCCTACCTTTACCAACATTCTAGGACAGCTATGTTGTCTGGGGTTAATGGCCAGAGCCATAGCTCTACTTCAGCTTCCACTTACCCAGGCGTTTTTGAGTGGGACGTTACAGCAAGCACAGCAAAGAAGTCACCCTCACTCAGGGACTTCACTGTGACTGTCATTGACCAGAACGCAGCTGTCTCTTCCATGTCTATGACAGCCCAGCATGATAAAACTTCAGATGCCAATATTATAGTCCCTCTGTATCCAACACTATCTGCCAGCCTTGTTCAGGGGACACAATCGGAAATCCCTAATCAGCAGGGCCAAAGCTTGTCACTTCCCTACCAGAAAGGAAGGCAGGTCTATTACTATAATGCAGACACACTGGGGCCTCAGCTCTCTGGAGAACTTGGCCCCTGGCTGCAATCCTATGGCTCTGTGTCATATACAGAAATTAGGGCCTCTGCCCATCAACCAGAAATGGTGATGGTGCTAAAGGAGGTTCAGCCCACAAATGGTCTACCAACAGTCTCCACTTCTGGGATGTATTACTCTGTGTCTGCTCAACACATCACAGAAAACAGTTTTCAAGGTGAGTACAATCAGCGAGAAAGGAGAACAATAAATAGAGCACTGAAAGCGAGGGTCAAATCTATAGCTCAGTGGTAAGTCCACGGATAGGTAGAATTTAAGTTGTGAGACTTCAACCACTATTCTTGGGCATTGCTCTCCATTTTCAGAGTCTATCTAAGAACACCGTCTTAGTGGGAAAGTGGAAGACTGTAGTGGCCATATATGCCACATTTAAGAGAGTCCCAAGAGATACCACACTTTTTATTGCGCTGGCTGATCAGTTCTCCTGCACCAGACGCTGTAACTTCCTTCCTTAATCTATTACTTTAGTCTCCTTGGAAGGCACTTCAGAAGTCTTATCTTGGCAGTGACCTTCTGATTTTCCTTGACTTACAGTAGGATTTAAGACCTTTTGCTCAGAGATTCTCTCCAAAACAAACAGGCTCAGAGTCTCTGCTTGCTTATGCATTTCATGACGAAGGGCTCCCCTCTCTCCCCTAGTCCATGGTGTAAAGGGTGACCCTATATGAGAATGTGAGGCTTTATAAAACATCTCCTATTTAAAAATCACTTTCACTTTTCATTTGGCTTACAACAACCCTATGAAATTCAAAGAAAGCCAAGAAACAATCATAATCATACCAAATGATAACCAGTAAGAGAAAAGTCACTGCCTATCCCCGAATACAGGGTCTTGTCCATGGTCCCGAAGAAGAGCTAGTAGAAATGCCTTACCCACGTTAGTTAGAAAGGTAAATGACTGCTGCATTGCTGTGCACGGGGAGCATCTCACTTACCAGAGATTGACTTCTTCCTTCATTCCTTTGTAGTGACGGAAACTTCCCGGGGGATGGATACCTCCCTGGGATTGCAATCTCCAAGCCAGACATGTTGTCTGGCACTAACTTCAGAATTCTCCAAGTCCTGCAGTAGCAGAAATACCCAGTTATTACTTGAGAGCAATCCATCACCTGAGCTTGGGGACGTTTCAACGATCATTCCAGTCCAGAGTCCAACTAATCTCTTGACAGTGTCTCCAGCTCCAAGCCAGGACAAAACCGAGAACAAGGATTTGGATGGGATTAAAACCAAGCTTTCAAAGCCTCTAGAGGCCTACCAGTTCCCAACAGAAAATCAAGATCCTCCACTGCGTCCTTTAGAAATCCCTGATATTCGCCAGCTTCTGTCCTGCATCGATCCTCTTGGCCAAGAGGAGCAGCCTGGTTCCGAAAATGCCAATCTGAGAAAGAACAGCCTGACTCTTGAGGGCAAAGGGCTACCTGAAGATGGGATTGAGTCTAGCAGTGATCTTGCAGACATCACTACATTGGTGGAGGATACTCACCTCCCCTCCATCTTCAGTTCCTTTCAAGATCTTGACCAACCCAAAAGTCCCTCCGCAAAGAAGGCCAAAGATCCCAGTGCCATCAAGGCAAATCAGGTGCAGGACAACTCAAGCATCATAAAGGGCCACTCTGACGAAGTCAGAAAGAACAAGCATAAAGCTGCCGAGCCTATCCAGGGTGCTCCCAAGGCCAAAATCCAGCCAAAGAAGCCAGAGAGCCTATTACAGGGAGAAGTGGCTGTCTGCAGTGCTACCACCAGCGACAGCACTTCTGTGAGCAAGGGCAAGCATTCTAGTGACAAACCCCACAAAGCCACATCCAACAGGAGCAGCACAACTAAGAGGCATGGGCAGGAGAAGACCAGAAGGGGCAGAGAGAACAGCTCCAAGAAATCTGAAAACAGGAAGCAGTCGGGGACCAAAGTTGAGGCAGACAAAAAGCAAGCCATTCCCAACAGGAAGCGGAACAAAAATCAACATGAGCTTAGCCAAGAGACCTTCAAAAAGCCACGAACCTCCCTAGGCATGCAGATGCTAGCGTCCGTGCAAGTTTTCCATGCACTGGGGAAAAAGACCGACAAGAAAACTGGATTCTCTTCTTCCCGGACTCTGGGAAGCTCAACCAACACCCAGAATGCCCAGACACTCTCAGCTCTCCAACCATGCCTGGATACCCGATGTGATGGGAAAGGCCCGGACAAAACTCAACTCAAGGCACAGGAGCTGGATGATAGGGCTGAAAAACAGTGTCCCTCTCCATCCCAGTATGAGTTGCCACCACCTGCAAAGGTCAAGTTGCTACCGTTGCCCTTTCTGACCCCGGACAAACCTCAAGCTCGACCTGTTTCTCGGTGGCCACACCCTCCGGCCTCATGTAGGCCTGCTGTGGCTTGCCCTGCTCAACCTGGTTCTACTAACTCAGTTCAGTCAACTGCAGTCGATCCGTTCCAACCGGCTCCTACCAACGCACCTTTGACAGGTCCTGCCAGACCAGCTCAGCCAATTTCGACCAATGCAACCCAACCTGGTTCAGCAAACCCTAACCGGCCTCCTATTGCCTCTCAGTCTGCTGCTTCTAGGCCAGCACCCTACAAAACATCATCTTGCTCTTCTCTCCAGCGGGAGCCCGTTTCCAGTGCTGTGACCAATCTCCAGTCACTGCCCAAGCCTCAAAATCAGTTTCTCATCCAAGACTTCAGCTTGCAGTTCAGGCCGTGGAGGACACCCAACATTTCTGGGCCAGTAGTGTCAACGCCCATCACAAAAGAGCAGAGGCCAGAACGCGAGGCCATGAAGAGGAAGGCCCAGCAAGAGCGTGAGAATGCTGCCAAATACACCTCTTTGGGGAAACTGCAGTTTTTCATTCAAAGACAAAAAGACATGGACATTTCTCAATACTACGGCTACAGGATCTAAGAGCTGCTGAGAGTGTTGGCTTTACTTTGGATACCAGCTGGTTTTCCAAATAAATAGACACTAATTTATTCATTCCAATAATATATTTTTAAAAATAAACAAACAAATCTAACACAATTAATAAGTAATAAGCATAAGTAATAAACAGGCTTTTGGCTTTGAAATGCTGTTGACTGTGGGTTTTCTTTTTTTGGGGGGTTGGATCAGAGGCTGCCTTCGAGGGAATTAGGGCTGGGCGAGGTGGCTCATGCCTGTAATCCCAGCACTTTGGGAGGCCAAGGTGGGTGGATCACCTGAGGTCAGGAGTTGGAGACCAGCCTGGCCAACATGGTAAAACCCATCTCTACTAAAAATACAAAAAAATTGGCTGGTTGCAGTGGTGGCTTCCTGTAATCCCAGCTTCTCGGGAGGCTGAGGCAGGAGAATTGCTTCAACCTGGGCGGTGGAGGTTGCAGTGAGCCAAGATCACACCACTACATTACAGCCTGAACAACAGTGCAAAACTCCATCTCAGAAAAACAAAATAAAATCAAAACAAGAAGAAACTAAAAGATGGATGGTAGGAGAATGGAAGAACTGAGGAAAGAGCAAGGAACGTGGTCCAGGGCTAAGAAGGTCAAAAGGGGAGATATTTCATGGGCTTATACAAAGAATCAGAAATGGGGAAAATGGCAGAAGAAAGATGCAGAATCTGAGGTTAGGACTAAAAGAATAAAATTTGGATAGAAGTTGACGATGGCAGAAGATAAGGCTGGGTGGACCAAAAGAAACGTACAAAATCTCCCATGGATGAGGGCCTGATGTCTCAGGGCCTATTGGATAGGTGTTTTAGAAAACACGATGCAGGACTCATCTCCAACAGGGTTAGGTTACCTGATACATATATGATCACAGTTGGGAAAGGTCAGTACAAAACAGGGGAATCTACCACCAGGGGAATGGCAAGGGCTCACAGTTCTAGGTACAGCTCATAACATGGGGTGCAGCCAAGTGAACTGCAGCAGCTCGAAGCTGACCTAGAAAAGACCATTAACTCACCACCTACGCACGGGCCAGTGAGATGCACTACTTCTGTTCACCCTCACAACCACACACAAGACCACTCACACTGGGCCATTTTGCCAGTGAGGTGAACAGCAATATAATTTTTCCTGAAGCTTTTGAACACATAAAGGAACAATAAAGAAACCTCATTAGACCTGATCTAATTAAAAGTCACACCTGTAATCTTCAGGCCAGCTCTGGTCTCCAGGTGGAATTCCAGGACAGGTTTGTATCACTGGGTCCATTCCCAATAGGCTGGATAGGAGAGTCCGGAGTAACTGTCAGGACACCACCTTCTTCTCTCCCGAGCTGCTCGACTGGCATTTGGCTTCACATTCCAAGTGTACCTTCTGTGTGAATAATCTTCTCCACGGGGACCAGGAGGAGGGATATGGCCTCTCTGGTAAACATTTGGATTCTGTGGAAACGTTCTTAAAGCAAAACAAAAAGTAATAAGCCATCACTAGGATTAATACCATAATTTTTATTTATTTTAAAATCATATTTTTATAAAATATTT